CAGACACTACAGAGAAACAACTGATAACCTAGGGTTAGTCTGATATCTAAACAGCCATGTAGAAGCCAAGAGATAAAACGCTAAAAGAAAACAACTAGTTGCTCATCCATATAAAAATATATTCAGACAAGGGAAAACAGTTTGCCTCCAGCAGTCACTTAGGGACATCCAAAGGAAGTGATCTCAGACACAAGGCATGACAAGCAGGAAAACTTAGGCATATGAAGAAAAACCTAAATGAGTATGGACTGTATGAAACAGTAACTTCTGAAGTCTTAAATAAAAAATAATTTATCTAATAATACATATGAATAAAAATGAGAGCTATAAAGTCAGTTTTCTTAAGGTCCTTCCATATTCTGGAAGCAAGATAATAATATAAATTCAGACTTTGATAAACATAGTTTCTACAGTAACCCAAAGGAACAGAGGATAACATCCAAATAGATAGAAAGGAAAATGAGATGTTAAAAAAAAGCATCTAATCCACAAAGAAGCAAAATAGAGAAAAAAACTTAAATAGGTAATACAGAAAGGTACTGAAGACATGAGCCTAAATTATTTTAAATGTAAATATATTAAATCCTCCACTTAAATGACAAACTCAAATTGAATTTTTAAAAATCCAATGACATTATTTATAAGTTTTTATCTAAAATAAATATTCAAAAATTTGAAAACATATGAAAAACATAGTATGCAAATGTTATTCAGAGGAATTGTTGCTACTGTATCCTAACTAATGAACTAAAAGTTAACATTCTAAGTGGATTAAAAAGGGTCCTTTCACAAGAAAAAAATTCAGCTAACAACTTTAAATGTGCATACACCTAAAAATAGTATCAAAATACGCATGAAGCAAATAGCAAAGATATATAAAACAGTAATATGAGAGAAAAATGAAACAATTCCATGATGACAGATGTGGAAACACTTCTCTCAGTAACTGACAGAACAAGAAAATGGAACTCCAGTGAGGGTCCACCTGAGAGAATACCATCACCTAATGCACATGGTCACAACACTGTGACCAGCAGCAGCAAAACCCAGACATGCACAGGAACAGGAAACATGGAAAACCAACCATATACCACAACAAAAGCAAATATGCAACAGTTCAAAGATTAAGAGCATGTTCTGTAACCATACTAAGTTTCAGGAACACAGAGATAACTAAAACCTTATGTCTGATGAAGAAATTCCTCTAAGGAACTCATGAGGCAAAGCAAAACACATAATGGAAATTAGAAGATATGAGAATTGAACAACTCCAAGCAAGTCTGAAAGCCTGAATTCAAGCCCTTGTATCAGCAAACACATGTGCACGCATGCACATGAGCACACACACACACACACACACACACACACTTCTACAACTTTCCAGTGTGGTGTGGTGTGTGCATGCGTGTATCCTGGAGCTTGAACTCAGGGTCTGGGTGCTGTTGCTGAGTTTTTATGTCCAAGGCTAATGCTCTACAACTTGAGCTACAGTTCCATTTATGGTTTTTTGCTAGTTAATTGGAGATGAGTCTCAGGGACTTTTCTACCCAGACTGGCTTCAAACTCAATCCTCAGATCTGTCTCCTGAGTAGCTTGGATTACAGGCATGAGCCACAAGTGTCCAGTTACATGTCACATTTTTTTTCTTTCTAGCCTCCTCCAATCGTCATCAATTCCCTTTCTGCTAACCTCCCCACAGTGGGCCGCACTGCCTCCATCTAGGAGCTCAGCTGCCTGGCCAAGGTCACTGGGGCACAGTCCCATCCTTTGGGGACTGTGTGTGTCACTCTCAAGAATGCCTCATGTCACTGTTGATAACATTTATGCAATTATCTCTTAGCTTCAAGTAGCAGAGTGGCAGTAATAAACTTTTAGTATCAGAACTGTTTACTACCAAGTAAAATGTTGGGAACATTCTTAGTACAGCACAAATTTCAAAACAAGTACATACATTTATATGCTTCAAATATTAGCAAATTCCACAAAATAAAATACTCAAGAGTTTTTGGTAGTTTATTTAGTCTGGCTTGGAGTCATCAGGCTTAACAAGAGGACAAAATGACTGGCTCAGAAATTTGAACACTCATCTCAACGAACACAAAATCAAAACAAAACAAGGATGATTCTAAAATCTCCTACCCATCCCTCCCCAAACAGAAGTGTTATTTAAACAATCCAAAAAGTTTCATTTAAGCAAAAACACATTCAACCATGGAACATTCAAAAGACTAAAAGGAACATTTCAATATTCATTTTGAAACTAGTATAGAAAATAAGGGAATCTCCATTTTCTACGATATACTAGCCATTACTTGTGAATTATATAACATTTTGATATCAAACTACTTTTAAATTAAGATGGCAACACTTACTGGTCTGCTGGTTAACTATGGTTTGTAACCCTGGATATTACTGTTTTGTCTTAATGTCACTGTCCTATATTTGAAGTTTAAATTCATCAAGCTAGGAAGATCTGAGATATATTTAAAAATCATCAAGCTAGGAAGATACTGAAATGTTAATAACCTTTTAGTAAGGAAAACTGGTTTGCATGTAAAAACTTCTAAACTCAAGACAGTAAAACAAGACAATCTGAGATGTTTTCATAGTTAAAACATTGCCTGATATTATAACACACAATTTACTAAGTACGTGGATTCTATAAAGATAATACACTTTAACCATTTCCTTCAACTTTTTTGCCCTTCAGAAATTCAACATTATGAATTCTTTTTCAATAAATACTTTTCAATGCCATTGTGCTTTATTTAGAAAAAACCAGTGAAGATACAGCAGATAGTAAATAGGAAACACGAGTCTCTTATTGCTACAGAATATCTTAATTTAAAAAGATAAAAGAAAAACTGACCCCAAAACATTAAAATGTTAAACATTTCAGTGAGTTTTCCTTTGTTGAAGAGTAATATGAGTAATAGAAATTATGTCAGATAGCCGGGTGCCAGTGGACTGTCCATGCAGGAAAGTCTGAGACTCTTATCTCCACCAGATAAACCAGAAGTAGCACTGTGGCTCAAGTGGTAGAGCGCTCGCCTTGAGCTGAAGAACTGAGGGACAGCGCCTAGGCCCAGAGTTCAAGCCCCATGACCAACGTGGGGGGGGGGGAGGAAGAGAGGGAAGGAGAGAGAGGGAGGGGGGAGAGGGAGCAAGGGAGGGAGGGAAGGAAATTACATCAGATGAATATTACAAAGGAGTCTGTAACAGGTTCTTTTCCTCCAATCCTCGGCACTAACTTTGGATGAGACCTAGTCCAAAAAGAACACACTATCACCTCAGAAACCACCTGTAGCATCAAAGAGAAAAGCTTTTTTAGCTCTCCGCACCACCAGCCCGCCTGCAACAGAACTCTATGTCCACTCTATCCAAGGAGTGCACTCCCTCAGAGGAGCAGGAACAAATGACTCTACTCATCTTGGCAGACTGTTTCCTAGAGTATCACTGATCTGTTTCATTTATAGGCCACGATAAAAACCTTACTGGGAAAATGCATTTTACTTATGACCCTATAGTATGCCTCAGAACTTGGACCATTATTTAAACTAATCTCCTTTCTGCATTTAACAACAGCTCAGCTCAACTCCATCTTTGCATCCACTCACCCTGTACCTCCCAATGAATGTAGTCTTCACAATTGATTAGTTCACCTGGCGACAGATGGATACTGCTCAAAAGATGTGATTTCAAAACCTAGCACAGTTAACTTGCTCATAATGGGTTATTATGACTTATCCCCACATATTTACAACAAATTATAGAGTTAACATTAAATTTTCTCCTATCCTTATTTCTGTCACAGGAACAGGTAGAAAAGCAAACTCAAAATTAGTAATTATGTAATTCCTTAGAAAGGCTCACAGTCCAACAAAATAAACACCAGGAAATAGGTACTCAAAAGGAGAATCAATGGGAATGAAGAGAGAAAGGGGGGGGGATATGTAGTCATAATATTCAATATATAATTTACAAAATTCAAAAAAAATGAGTAAAGAGGTGGGGTTGGAACAGGAATAATGAAAGGGATGACATTGATCAAGATTTATTGTATTCATATAGTATACTTTGTTGAATGGCAACTCCTTCATACAACTGCTTAAAGATTAACATTTTTAAAAAGTAATCATTTGTTGGGCCATGAATTAGAAATGTATTTCTGCCTAAAACTTCTGAACTTAAAACTTCAAATGTATTCCAAGAAAGAACATTTTATAGAAAGGACTATCTTTCCTTAAAAAATCAGATTTCTATATCCCACATTACATTTGTTTTAACTGGACATGCTGATTTATTTAGTGCCTTGCCTCGCTGTAATCTCTTGTGTATGTTAATTTATAAGCTGGTCATTATGGCATATACCTAGAATCCCAGCAGTTGGGTGGTAGAGACAAGAAATGAGGTTCAAGGCCAGCCTAGGCTACATCAGAATTCTGCCTCAAGGACTGGAAGAGTAGCTCAGCAGAAGACCCGGAGTTCAAACCTCAATATCTCAAAAACAAAAACACTGGCTCAACAAGCCAAAGGGCCAAGCACTGGTGGCTCATGCCTATAATCTTAGCTACTAAGGAGGCTTAGTTCTAAGGATCATGGCTCAAAGCCAGCCAGAGCAGGAAAGTCCATGAGACTCTTATTTCCAATTAACCCAGGAAAACCAGAAATGGTGTGTGGCTCAAAGTGGTAGAGTACAATCTTTGAGCAAAAAAGCTCAGGGACAGTGCCCAGGTCCTGAGTTCAAGCCTTACAACTGATATAAAAAAAAAAAAAAAAAAGCTGGTCGCTCATGCTCATGGCTGTAATCCTAGCTATTCAGGAAGCTGAAATCTGAGGATTGAGGTTCAAAACCAGCCTGGGCAGGAAAGTCCGTGTGACTCTTATCTCCAATAAACCACCAGAAAACTGTAGCTCAAGTGGTAGAACGCTCGCCATGAACTGAAGAGCTGAGAGACAGCACCCAGGTCCAGGGTTCAAGCCCCACAACTGACAAAAAAAAAAAAATAAAAGCTAAGAGGCAGAGATATAGCTCAATGGTATAAAGATTATAACCCCTTCATACAGCTACTTAAGGATAATAAATATATGATTTTAAAAATGAGAAGGGTGATTGCTTAGCATATACAAGGCTCTAGGTTTAATTTCCAGCACACAGAAAAGGGAGAATTCATAAAAGCATTTAAAGTCACTACATTCAGTAGGCTAGAGCATGAGATGAGGAGACAATCTTTACTGTTTGAAAAATTCCTCTTTGTTCTTCAGTTCTAGTTCTTCATTTGTGTTTCTGGTGTTCGGTCTAGAAGTTACCCTAGCTTCGAGGTGAGGGAAAACAGACAGAGACAGAATGTGTGTGTAAAAGGGGAGACCAATGAATATATACAACCAGACAGGTGATAGTGCTGCATTCAATTACACAGAAAGGGGCCTACAGCCAACAGTATCAAATCATACAATTCAAAATATCCAGAGGAAAGGATTCTGAATGCTCTCACAAAGAAACAATAAATGCTTGAGGTGATGGATAACCTAAGTAGCCTGAGTTGGTCATTTTACAATGTATAAATGTACCAAAACATCACACTGTATCCCATCAGAATTCACAATAATTTGTCAACAAAATAATTTAGAAAACAAAGAAATTCTACAAAACTATACACATCACAAATGTCTATTAGACAAAACAAAAAAAGACATTGTACATATACTAAAGCCAGGAGGTATAAAGAAAATCTCATAAACAGAGTAGATAGCAAAATAAGCTGTGGACATGATAGAAAAAAGTAAGTCAAGTTTCTTGTCTCCATTAGTGAGAGCCCTTGCAAGTTGCCTCAAAATGCACCCTCCCATCCTAGCAAAACTGCATGCTTCTCTTGCAGCAATACTTGTTACTAGATAATCTTAACCTTATCAAGTTCAAATAGGAAAAAAAGACTGCATCTATTAATAATTGTGTTAAATAGTTCACCTTCACAATTTAACAGGGAAAACTTTTGAGAGAATAGGACTTAACAAAAATATGCACACACTCGTCTACAGCCACAATGATCTGGTCCAAAAAGCAGTGGAAAGGAATTATCATTCATACTTTTGGGCTGTCAAATATTCCATTTTAAATGTTTCGATCAAATTGTTGAGTACCATTTTGACACTAATCAGCAGAAGGCACCTCAGTATCACTTTACTTATTCTGTCTTCATTCCCAAAAAAATTTAAAAGAACACAGAAAACACAGATAAAAATGTTAAATACTCAATGATGCCATTATTCACTAACATAAGTAGAAAGCGCTTAATTGTTCTGAGTCCAGTCTATCATATAGATTTAGTGTCAAACAATTAATCAAAGTTCTGCAATCTCCACACTGGCACTAAGGGTATGGGTATTAGTCTATCAAAAAGATAGTGAACAAATTAACTGCAAGAAAAGCCTTCCTTGCAATGAAGTTGAAGAGAATACTGAATTATTAATATTTATTTAAGACATTAAATAGCAGCTCTAGGTTGTGATTTCAGATAATGAGATAAAAGGGTCATTTACCACATATTAAAGAAGTAAATAACTTGTAATTTCTACTTTTAGGAAGTGAAAACACATGGATCAAGGACACCCAATGTTCCATCCTCAAATTTAAAATCATATTGTCAGTTGTCCTATATAGTTCAAAGTTAACGTTTATTCTATAAAATTGTGCATGTGTTCTAGTTAGGGTTGGAGGACATTGTTGCAATGTTATATTTTGCTTCCTAAATTAGCTCCAGCTACATATAACAGACAAGAACTAAGGTTAAATGAACTTAGATACAAATCCCAAGGAAAGTGTTTAGTCTATGTGTTGTACAGATTGATTTAAAATGAAACAGAAGCAAGTTTCAAAATAAATCACAGTATCTATTATATATCTTCAGCAAATCTTCAGTAGATGTCCAAGAATTAACCTATATTGCCACTGGCTTTAAAAATCAAATTTAAACACATTGCTCTTTCACTAGTCTAAATGAATAAAAGCAAATGGTAATAATTTTAAAAAACAAAAGAATTCTCTCAGACTGAAGTGGAGGGCTCAGAAACCTAGTACCTAGTTCTTGAAAGAAAATGATAGCTAAAATCTTTTGGAGATAGATTCCAATACAGATTCCACTCATCAAACTCATTCATTATATATAGTACTGGAAAATTTGAGTCAATTTCACAAAATCACAAATTGAGTGATACATAAAGATTTACTAAAAACAAAAAAAAAGTCTTCCAGAGGTGATATTTTAAATCAAAGTTTTAAATATGAAAGGTGTTTTATGTTGCTGCATTTTTCCATGTTTCAAATGTTCTTCACTCTACAGTTACAGATTTGGCAAGATTCCGTGGAAAGTCAACCTAAAGAAAAAAAAAAGAGCAAGAGTTGAAATCACACACATTGGAGAAAAAAGCATTTGCTATATGGAAATTACTTTTGTTTGGAGCTTGGCTTCATGTTGTGTTTCTATAGTCACAGCTATGCAGGAGGATGAGATGGGAAAATAGTTTGAGCCTAGGAGTTCATGAACAGCCTGGGAAACATAGCAAACGTGGCTCAAAGAAAAAGAGAAAAGAATATCACGTTATCTTGAAATTAAACTGAAGTGAGGAAAAGGAATTCTAAATTGTAAAGGTGCCAGGATCTGTACTTCTATACAGTTGGCAGTCCTCACAGGGGGAATGGTAAATGTAAGAAAATGATGAGTGCTTGACCTTATCTATGTAATTGTAACCCCTCTGTACAGTATTTTCACAATAAAAATAAATAAATAGGGGCTGAGAAGGTGGCTCAGTGGTAGAGCGCTTGCCTTGCATGCATGAGGCCCTGGGGTTCGATTCCTCAGCACCACATAAGCAGAAGAAAAAAAGCCGGAAGTGGTGCTGTGTGGCTCAAGTGGTAGAGTGCTAGCCTTGAGCTGAAGAGCTGAGGGACAGTGCCCAGGCCCTGAGTTCAGGCCCCACGACTGGACCCAAAATAAATAAATAAATAAATAAAACATAAAAATTTAAAAAACTATAATAAACTCAAATATCAATTACCTTCAAAACTTCAAAAAAAAAAAGAAAATGATGAGTTATTGCTACAATAACTGGGAGACAGGAACACTAAATGTCTAACATCCATTGTAGTGGAGTATTAAAAAACAAAGGATTGCCTTATCCAAAATATCAATGGCTACTCCGTTAAAAAACACATACTAAGAAAACAGAAAATTCCCCAAGGAGAATCCTAGTCTTGGAAGAGATCTCTAAGATTCCTTCAAGTTCTGTAAGAAAATATGGTGATGGGCCTTGGAATGTGGCTTAGTGACAGAGTGCTTAGTTAACATGCATGAAGCCCTGGGTTCGATTCCTTTGTACCACATAAACAGAAAAAGCCAGTGGCACTATGGCTCAAGTGACAGAGCACTGGCCTTGAGCAAAAGAAGCTCCAGGACAGTGCCCAGGCCCCAAGTTCAAGCCCCAGGACTGGCAAAATAAAAATTTTTTTTGGTCGGTTGTGGGGCTTGAACTCTGGGCTTGGGCGCTGTCCCTCAGCTCTTCAGCTCAAGGCAAGTGCTCTACCGTTTGAGCCACAGCGCCACTTCCGGTTTTCTAGTGGTTTATTGGAGATAAGAGTCGCACAGAGTTTCCTGCCGGGGCTGGCTTTGGCTTTGAAGGGAGATCCTCAGATCTCAGCTTCCTGAGTAGCTAGGATTACAGGCGTGAGCCACCGGCGCCTGGCTAAAAATTTTTTTAAAAAGAAGATATGGTGATGTAACATAAAAATTGGACCTTGAAAAGATAATTTGTGACAGACATATTAGGTGGATTTCTCAAATGCTATTATTGTTAAAAGTTTAGAAGAAAATACCAGAATGGATCCAGGGAAAAACCAACCACAGACTTAGGAGAGGAACCCAAAGGTGTAACTTCTCTGAACATCTGAAATACTATTTGTTGAAATGAAGTCTCCAGGAAATGGAAATATACTTGTGTTGTTCTTATTACTGTTTGTGGTGATGGTGGTGTTTGTTTTTTGGGGTTTTTTTTAAGGGGGTGTAGAGGGGAGGGGCAGAAAGGGAGGAACAAATGCAATCATATTATTAAGTATACACTATGTGGAAAATGACCTATGTAACTTGTAAGCACGGATGGGAGGGGGAACTAGGGGAAGGGGTGACATTGTCCAAAAAAGGAAAGTACCCATTACCTGACTTATGAAATGGCAATCTCTGTACAATAATAAAATTGAATCTCAATTTAAAAAATCCTAAATGTCTGCCATTGGTGGATCACTTACATCATAGCCTCTGAGCACAGCAAGATGGAAAGCCAGCAACTGTAAAGGGATCACACTGAGAATACCCTGCAAGCAGTCCACCGAGTGGGGAACCTTGATGGTTCTCTTTGTGTTCTTGATGGTCTCTGTATCCTCCTTATCACAGATCACCACAGGGCGCCCCTGGGAAAGACAATTGCGCACACAGACACAGTCACTAGAAAGCAAATGCGGGGCTCTAACACATGAATGAACAAGTTTTATACTACATAATCCACATGCAGTCTCACTGGTGGATTTCTTTTTTGATAGTACTAGGATTTGATCTCAGGATGTCATAGCTTCCTTGGCTGACAACTCTATCATTTGAGCCGTCTCCCAGACGTTTTTACTTTAGTTTTTTTTTTTTGTTGTTGTTCTATGGTTTTGTTGTTGTTGTTGTTTGGTTTTTGTGGCTGCCCTAGGGCTTGAACTCAGGGCCTGGGCACTGTTCGTAAGCTTTTTTGCTCAAGTCTAGAGCTCTACTACCTGTGCCACAGCTCCACTTATGATTTTGTTGGTTTGGGGTTTTTTTGTTTGTTTGTTTTTTGGGGGTTTTTTGGTGGCTAACTGGAGTCTCAGAAACTTTCCTGACTGGGCTGGCTTTGAACCTCAATTCTTATTATCAGCCTCCTGGGTAGTAGCTAGGATTACAGGTGTGAGCCACCACCCAGGCTGCTTTAGTTACTTTTTAATAGGGTCTCACATTTTTGTTGGTTTTGGTTTTTCCTCTATCCCGTCTTCCACCCCTCCACCCCACCTCCCCACCACCCTTACCCCCATCATAACAAGCTGAACAGTATTCTCCTATTCACACTGCTAGGATGACAGGCACATGCCCCTATACCCAGCTCTTGGCTGAGTTGGGGTCTTACTAATATTTCTTTCTTTTCTTTTACCCAGATTGGCTTTGAACCATGATGCTTCCAATCCCTCAAGTAGTTTAGATTATGGTGTGACCCACCAAAGCCTGACTGCTCATAGATCTTTGTAAAATCCAGAGTTTTATGCAGTAAGTCTGGTTGATATCACATAGTGACAGAAACAGAAGTTTATGGGATTAAATAAATTTTAAAAATTCACATAACTAGAAGATTCCAAGTCTAATAAAAAAGAGGATGGGAGGAGAGAGGAAAGGAGAAGGGAGGTCAAGATAGAAAAACCAAACAGCACATTCCTTGTATTAAACCTCAAAAGCCATATTCCAAAAGCAAAAAAGTTAACAAGTAAACATGTTTTTAAGTCAACTAGTACTTTTCTCACTTTAAATGTAATATCCAAATAAGCTTTTATAACCTAACTTCTAGATCCCTGAGATGTCCTCACAGTCACCTAACTTACCTGCCGAGCAATTACTTGCTGAAAAGCATTCTGACACTTGGCATAAGTGTGATCTCTCATGATGATCATGATGACAGGCATTAACTTATCCACCAAAGCTAGAGGGCCATGTTTCAATTCACCAGCAAGGATGCCCTCAGAGTGCATATAAGTAATTTCTTTGATTTTCTAGTAAGAAAGAACCAGGGTAAGTCCTTCAGTCATTTTTCAAAATTCATCTTAAAGTAAACATTATACAAACATGGGTAAGGAAAGTCATTGTCAATTCAGAAATATTAAAGGACCAGTGATCTGTAAATGTACCTAATAAGTGATCATTCTTTCTATAAAACCAAACAAGTATTTGGGAGTTTTAAAGTTCCACAAAACTTCCTCAAGGTTTCAGACTATCAGGAATATTTCTTTTTTTTTCTTTTTTTTTTTTTCTGTCCAAGACTGAGACTTGAACTCAGTATCTGGCACTTTTGCTCATTAGCTGGTGCTCTACCACCTGAACCATGCCTCCACCCCCAGACTATCATGATTATATGCACATTCCTAACTTCTCCTACCAGCTTTACATTGAATTTCAAGTTCATTCCTTATCTAGAGAAACTTAATCTTTTATTCATATTTGGACAACACATAAACTCAAATCATTTGCTAAACTCAAGTAATCATACTAAAACATCTTCTTGGTTTTCACTTTTGAATTAAGTTCTACAGCACTCCCCAAAGTAAACAAAGCATAAGGAATTAATACAGTGGTAATTTACAAAGTTCCACCTATTTCATTCATTTATTCTAAGAGTTCAGTTGGTGCCGGGGTATGGCTCAGTGTTAGTGATTGCCTAGCATGTGCAAGGCTCTTGGTTAGATCCCTGAAATGCAAAATAAATAATGACTGTGCCAGGTCTGTAATTATCACATTGAAATAATTATAAGTGAGGAAACATACCAGGGCCCCTTCAAGACAAGTAGCATAGTGATATCCTCGTCCCATTATCAGGACTGACTTCTGATGATATAGTTCTGTAGCCAGTTTCTGAATTTCATCATCCATGCTCAGCACTTCCTTAATCAAATCTGTTAAGAAGTGAGTATTAGAGCTGAATTGTACTCATAAACTGACATGTAGAATTGAAACCATTTCATACAACTAAAGATTATTTTAAAAGAAAACAAAATGTATAAAAAATGGACCACAAACTGAACAGCAGTAACATACAGCAGCAACCAACAAAAGATCAGCATTTCTATCCTTACATGGTATCAGTATAGGAATTTTTTAGCACATGGAAACGGAAGCAAAAAAGGTACTAAGTAGCTACAACGTACATCTTTAAGAAGAAGAGAATCTCATTCACTATTCACTCCTTCAGAAAACAAAAGTATGTATGAGTATCTTCCTACCTGGCAGCTGTTTCAATCCAAGCATGATTTCTTTGCGTCTCTCTTGCATGGAGATCCTGTCATCACACATCATAAGGGCAAACATCACAAGGGCAACAAACTGGCTGGTGTATGCCTGAGACACCACACATATACAAACACACAAAAACACACACACAAACAAACAAACAAAAGCAGAAAAATAACTTGGAAACTTTAATCTTTAAAAAAAGGAAATAAAAAAAAAGAAAAGAAAATCCCCACTACTTTGACACTTTACACTGTCTTTCAAAGCAACACTAGAAACTGCTAAATGACCCAGTATTTGGAAAACTACCACCGTTTTCCTTTTCCTAATCACGAGCAAATGACTTAGCATTTATTTCTGATACAAAAGCAAAACCCCTTTTAATGCACTGGATGCTTGTGAGATCCCTAACACTGCTAAGGCAGGATAGAAAAGAAACATGCAAAGAAAGGAGAGCCAAGGAATCTGCAAATGCTTGAGGAGATGAAGACTTTCCAGCAGGTGGAAGACTAAGGCTTCAGAGACTATGCCAGGGATACCTGGCACTGGTACTGTTGAATTCCTTTCCATTGTTCAGTTTTTTTACTTTTACCTATGCCTGTTCCTCATTCACATTTTTTACAACAAAAAGTTTAGCTAACATTAAAATAAGGAAGTTTAACTGTAGGAAAGTAACAAGAAATGAAAATAACCTCTAACCCTATTAATAGGAATAATTACATTAACAGCATGATATTATGAATGGCATGTGTGCCCTCCAGTTAAGGGCACAAGCAACAAGACTGTCATTAGAAGTAATCAAGATTGCTGCGTGCTCACTCCTGTAATCCTAGCTGATACTCAGGAGGCTGAGATCTGAGGACTGCGGTTCAAAGCCAGCCCAAGCAGGAAAGTCCATGAGACTATTAACTCCAATAAACCACCAGAGAACCAGAAGTGGCTCTATGGCTCAAGTGGTAGAGTGCTCGCCTTGAGCTGAAGAGCTGAGGGACAATGCCCAGGCCCAGAGTTCAAGCCCCATGACTGACCCCCCCAAAAAAAGTAATCAAGACACATATAAGTCCTCTGCCCCATACTTAATTATAGACTGAAACTATATTTTATTGGCAGAAGCTTAAACTACAAGTCATTTTCTTTCCTATGCAAAGTATTGTGGCTATTTTAAAAGTTGTAGTTATAATGCCTAGACCACTTTCATTCTTATTAGCTGTATGCAAATGTGAGATGTACCTGTACCTGTTTTGCCACATGCTGCAAATAACTCAGAATTTTGTTTTTAAATAAATGTATACCATTTTGACTGCTGGACAATAGAAGTAGACAGGATTTCCCTATGTTACTTCAAGGAGTCTCAAACACAAATGTTTTTCCCACTTCAGTCTACCAAATAGTTGAGACTACAGGTGTGAACTACCATGTCCAACTACACCATGCAAAGCTCAAATCCAAAATATTAAGATTTTTGTGTGGTTTAGTCACTTATGTTTTTTCTTTTGAGAATTGATTTTATTGTTCTTTACCTATTTTTCAACTTAGGTTTTGTTTGTATTTTTTTTTTATTCTGAGACAGGTTCTCACTGTATAATCCAGGCTGCATCAAACTCTCAGTCTTCTGACCTCTACCACCCAAGTATTGAAGGTTTCCAGGGATGATGAGGTTCAAGAGCAATGACATAAGCTGCTCTCGGGGCTGGGAAGGTGGCTCAGTGGTAGAGTGCTTACCTTGTATGCATGAGACCCTGGGTTCGATTCCTCAGCACCACATAAGCAAAAATAAAAAAGCCGGAAGTGGCACTGTGGCTCAAGTGGTAGAGTGCTCGCCTTGAGCTGAAGAGCTGAGGGACAGCACCCAGGCCCAGAGTTCAGGCCCCACGACCGGACCCAAAAACAAACAATAAAAAAAAAAAATAAGCTGCTCTCTTCACCCAAAGGACTATAAGTAGACAGACTATCCTTTAGGTCTGCAATTGGGAAGCCTGCAGCTCTGCTGTTAGGGAGCTTTCTGAACACTGGTTGGCTGGTGTTCTCTTTTCTACTTTGGACTGGATCGTATCTTTCTACTAATGTGCTTATTGATGTACATATTTTTGTGTCTTTACAGTTAATCAGAAACTTCTTCTAATACCCAAGAAAACCAAGAAATAGAAGAACCCTTACTGATAACATAGACAGAAATTCACTTAAAGAAACTTACATCAGCTAAGCACTAATGGCTTGTGCCTACAATCTTAGCTACTCAGGAGAGTAAGCTCTAGAGGATCCAATTTTGTAACTGGCTGGGGCATATTTGTTAGATATTACAACTCCAAAAAAACTAGTAAGAAGAGAGCTAAGTGCATGGTTCAATGATAGAGCAATAGCCTAACAAACATTAGATCAGGGGTCAAGCCCCAGTATCTCCACAGGAGGAACAGGAAAAGCATGAGAAGCAGAGAAGCTATAAACCATTTAGAATATTCTGAGGTCGGAAACCATTTAACCAGGAAAATGTTAACTGAACTTTTAAACTCAGTTTTCTTTTGATCCAGCCAAAAACAAAGTTAGATGAGTTTATTTTTTTTAAATCAACTTACGTCGGTGGTAAAATTTTAAGCACCTGCAATAACATAAAAAACTCTTGAGCCTGCACATTTGTACCCATCAATTATCAACTTATCTATGGTCTGATATTATAAAAAAGTCAGCAATATTCCTCTAATCCAAAAGTGTTTTTAAGACAAAGCTGGAAATTCCTAACAGGATTACAATTAAGTTTCAGTCCAACGATCAACTTCACAGATCACCCATTGACATATAACTTAAATTTGCTATTTATAAGTATCTATGACTAAATATCTCCAAACTCATGTTAAATAATTCAAATGTGGATTATCTAAGAAAGCAAAAAGTGAAGAAAGCTAAGGGTTTTTTTTGTTTACTTTGCTGTAGAATTCAAGACAAATGGAAGGAAGCAGTACTAAATTGCCAAACTTACTAAAATTTTTAAGACAGTCATTTTTGAAAGAAATCAAAATGTACAAAAAGATATACATTTCCTTATATGTGATGTAAGCAGACATAAATTGGAGAGCAACATAAGGGATTTCTCTGTTATAGAATAGATTAATTTTTCCCCAAAGTTCTACATGAAAGGCTTGGTCCCCAAGGTGGCACTAGCAGGAGATGAGGAACCTTTACTAAGGCCCAGAATGAGGTCCTTTAGTCACTGGTGGGGGGGGGTGGAAAAGGGGGGAGAATGCACTTGAAGGCGCTTGCACCCCCCCTGGCTCTCAGATTGTTTGTGTTTCACAACTCATAATGTAAACAGTTTGTTTCTCCACAGAATCTCACTGCCATGCGAACTGCCTAATTTTGGACCTTCCAGAACTATAACCCAAAATAAACAATTTCCCATCCTCAGTGCATTTGGTATTTTGTTATAATAATGTGCAGCTGAGTAACACAACTTATTAATTTCCTGTAAGTCCATATTTTTAAAAAAATTTTAAAGAACTTACAAAAGAAGTATTATTGATACTAACAAGATGAATGAACCTTAGAGACTTCATGCTAAAAGAAGGAAGCCAGATTCAAAAGATATATATTATACAACCCAGTCATCTGCTGGCACCTGGTGGCTCATGTCTGTAATCCTAGGTATTCAGAAGGTTGAAATCTGAGGGTCACAGTTTGAAGCCAATCCCAGGTAGGAAAGCCTATGAGATTCTTATCACCAACTAACCACCAAAAAAGGCTGAAGTAGAGCTGTTGCTCAAGTGGTAGAATATTAGTATTGAGTGAAAAAGTTCAAACAGCACCGTGGCCCTTGAGTTGCCCCAGTACTGGCACCAAAAAAATTTTTTTTTAATTCTAGAAAATAATACATAGTAAAAGAAAGCAGTATTTACTGAACATGAGCACTAGAGGATAGGGTGAGAATTACTATTAAGAAGAACAAAGAACTTTGTCATATGACTCAAGTCTTCTATTATAACTAGGTTGTGGCAACAGCCACACAGTCAAATTTACTACAGTTGTACATTTAAAATCAGTGAATGTATCAGTGAATGTTATGATTTGAAACTAATTTCTCTATAAAATGTGAAAAAGGTCAGTGGTAGAATCTAGGTAATGGATATATAAGTATTAATGTGAATATATTTTTTATTTTTATTTATTTAATTTTTTTTTTTGTCAGTTGTTGGGCTTGAACTCTGGGCCTAGGCACTATCCCTGAGCTCTTCAGCTCAAGGTGAACACTCTACCACTTGGGCAACAGTGCCACTTCTGGTTTTCTGCTGGTTAACTGGAGATAACAGTCTAATGGATTTTCCTGCTCACACTGACTCTGAACCATGATCCTCAGATCTCAGCCTCCTGAGTAGCTAGGATTACAGGCGTGAGCCACCAGCACCCAGCTTGTGAATTTAATTCTGCTGTTCACATAAAAATTATAATAACAAGGAAAATTAAAGAATTAAAAGTATGTAATCAAACAGTTCCCTTAGCAGATGAGTTCAAAAAGATTTTATAAAAACTGAGTTATCTTATATCCCACATATGCCACGTTGAAGTCTTTTGTTCAAAGCTGGACTCATTTGTGTGGACATAGCGCTGAAACCCAGTCAGATGCTGCCAAAAGCAGCCAGAAGATGAAAATCCAAGCACAGATCCTTAAGAGTGCAACTGCCATGTAAAGGATAGCGTAATATCAAGATTCCCCAAAATGAAGGCTTTATTCAGTGTTTTTACATAAGAATCAGAAATTTACCACAAAATTCTTATTAGAATCTTGACAAGGAAAAAAACTATTCAAATATGCTTATACAAATGTTAACAGCATTTTCACAAACTTTTACTTCAAACCCAAGAATATCATTCGAAAATTTTAAAAAATTAGGTGTAAGCAGAAAAACACATAAGAAACTGAAAATCTGAAATCACTAGTAGCAAAACATTTGTACTGAGATAAATCTTCTGTCATTATAAAACTTTTTTACAATTACTACATCTGAACAAGGTCAAAGACCAAGGTAGTGTCTTAGTGAGCCTTTAAAAAAAAAAATCAAAGCACTTTAAGCCTCCATAGATATAATAGTAAAAAGAAACAGATATTGTCGTTATGCTCATTTTCTTAACTGTTTTTAAAGTCTTTTCTAAATGACAATTTTTATAACTAAGGTGTATTCTTCTTTACAAGCCTTCAAAAACAGTATAGTTATAAGAAACCAGGAATATGTAAATAAAAGTATGTTAAAAATATTTAAACTAAGTTTTTAATTTATTACTTTTTTATTTCCCAAATACTCATAACAAAAGAAAAGTATGTTTTTGTACCATGTGTCTCACTGACCCAGATAGAACTGTTAAGTGAGGATAAGAAGTCATTTCCTAAGACTTATTTCTTTTAGCAATTGCAAAAAGACAGACTGATCTATATACTAGTCAGTTTTACCAATATTATAATTAAGTCATCATCAGATAAAGAAGGTAAGAATTTACCTTTGTACTGGCCACACCAACCTCAGGACCAGCATTAATGTGAACTCCACAATCTGTCTCCCGTGATATTGAACTGCCCACTGTATTCGTGATCCCCACAGTTAAAGCTCCTCTCTCCTTACAGTAACGAAGTCCCATTAGGGTATCTGCTGTCTCACCTATGTAAAAAGTAGGACAAAAGTAACAGATGGAATAGTTTCAGCATCTGATGGTTCTTAGATACAAAAATTATCAGACTGCTTGCTTAAATAAAAAATAAAATATGTACCAAATAAATTTATAGGATCTCTTTTCCTTCCCTATCTGAAAATTCAGCTATTCCAGCATAAAAGGTATTCATTTTCACTAATTATTAAAGAATATATTAAAGTAAATTTGTTTTTGACAATGGATCAGCAATACCAATGTATCTTTAAATACCAGTTCCTGACAAGATATGCTAAATTAAAAAAAAACAAAAACCCAACTACTTTAAAGCCAGGTACCAGTAGCTCATGCTTGTAATCCTAGCTACTCAAATAGCTCAGATCCAGAGAAACACGGTTGAAAAAGTCAATTCAGGCAAAAAAAGCCTGTAAGACCCCATTTCTAATTAATCAGCAAAAAGCTAGACTGCAGGCATAGTTCAAGTGATGAACCAACAGCTATAAACAAGAAAACCAAGCAAACGTGAGACACTGATTCAAACCCCAGTAGGGGTTTGGGAGGGCAAATAAGAGAGGGTGAAGAAGGTTTGATACAGTCAAAAACTTTATGTACATCTGGGAAGGTGGCTCAGCGGTAGAGCGCTTGCCTTGCATGCATGAGGCCCTAGGTTCCATTCCTCAGCACCACATAAGCAAAAAGAAAAAAGCTGGAAGTGGCACTGTGGCTCAAGTAGTAGAGCGTTAGCCTCGAGCTGAAGAGCTGAGGGACAGTGCCCAGGCCCAGAGTTCAGGCCCCACGACTGGACCCCAAAAATAAAATCAAAAAACTTTATGTACATCTATGAAAATGGACAATTGTTTTAAAAAGGGGGGAGCAGAAATGATAGGAGGTTAATTTGAATTTGTATGCATGAATGGAAATACCACAACTCCCCCTCACCCCCCGCACAAGTAATATATGCTAATAAAATGTAAAAAAACTAAAAAACCTAACCAACAAAAAATAAAAATGAAAAAACTTTCCTTCCTTCCAAGTCTTTAAAAGAAACATACCTGATTGGCTAATGAAAAAGCAAACATCATCTCGAAAGACTGGCGTGTTTCTATCCAAGAAATCACTGGCTAGTTCCACCATCACTGGCAATTCAGTCAGCTCCTCAAGAACCTGACGTGTCTGTACAGAAAAAGTGACAAGGTTATACAATTTGCCTTCATATACTTTCTAACTGGACTTCATTGGATTCAAATGTACAGTTTTCATGTTTTCTGATTATAAAAAGGACACATGGGCTCGGATGTAGCTGAGTAGCTGAGCACATGCAAGTTTCAACCCCAGGACTGGGGGAAAACAAGTATAACACAAATAAATTTAGAAAATACAAACAATCTAGGTTAAAGAATAAATGCTGTTAACATTGCAGTATAAGACTCCTACAACAATTATCATTATATAAGCAAATAAACTCACACATCTAATATGATACATAATATTGTGAGCCAGGTGCTGTGGCTCATGCTTAGAATCCTAGCTACTCAACAGGCTGAGATCTGAGGATCGTGGTTCAAAGCCAGCCCGGGCAGGAAAGTCCATGAGACTTTATCTCCAATTAACCACTAGAAAACCCTAAGTGGAGCTGTGGCTAAAAGTGGCAGGGCACTAGCCTTGAGAAAAAGAGCGCAGTGACAGTGCCCAGGCACTGAGGTCAAGCCCCACAACAGCCAAAAATATTGTGAGACGTAGAAAAAGCATTGTTCCGAGTCAGGTTGTGATTTACCTCTAATTTCATAGTTTTTTATCTTTAAAGTGAAAACTATGTAACACCCAACTCCCTAAAGAATTTCAAATGAGGAAATAGACTGCACAAATATAAAATTAAACATTTTGATCAGGTATGTCAGTAGCTCACACCTATAATTCTAGCTATACAAGAGACAGATCCAGAGGACCAAGATTTGAAGCAATCCCAGTCAGAAAAGTTTATATTCCCAAAGTAGTCAGCAAAAATTTAGACTATAAAGTCAGGCACTGGTGGATCATGCCTATAATCCTAGCTACCCAGGAGGTGAAATCTGACGCTATTAGTTGAAGCCAGCCTGGGCAAACAAATCAAGACTCTAAGCTCCAATTAACCAGCAAAAAGCAAGGAACTAGAGGCATGGCTCAAGTGATAAAGCCACTAACCATGAGAGAAAAGCCAAGCAAAAGCATGAAGCCTTGAGTTCAAGCCCCAATACCAACTCCTTCCCCCACAAAAAAACCTCTGGGCTAGAAGTATGGCTCAAGTGGTAGAACACCAGCCAAGCAAGCAAATATGTCAAGTGCAAGGATCTGAGAGGCCCTGTGTTCAATCTCTGGTAGCATAAAAAGTTAATTAAACACCTTAAAAGCATGATGTATTTGTAAGTACTACCAAAAACATCAATATATTTTAGAAAACCTGCTTTAAGTGGCTCACTATTTGCAAACTTTGGGGTAATGAAGTAGCATGTGGAATGAGACAGAGGAGAAGTATACTTCTGCTTAGAGGGCACCTTAACATTCCTTTTACTAAGTTTTAGTTCTAATTAAATTTCTCTTACCCTAAACATCAGAAAATTACAAACAAAAAATAAGCTTCCAGGCACCAAAACCTTTAAGCCCTACAGATATATAGTGTTGCTTTAACACTAATGCTAGAGATCCCCAATCCCAATACCAGCCTCTTTGAACCAGCCTTGTCACCTCTCTTGCCTCACACTTCAATGAAAATTGTAAAAGTGTCCTTACTTCATAGCCCATGAACTTTTGCTTGCCCACAAGCTAAAAAAAAGTTTGTGTTTGGTTCTCCAACAGCTATGTTGGGCACTTGTTAGCAATATTCCAACAGCATGGACAGAAAGTCTTATAAAGTCAAACGTTTCTACTTTTATTTACTCCTTTCCATATTTACTTAATAACTGTACATAAAGAAGTCACTGACAATGAAATGCTAAAGGATTCCCCTCAAATAAATGCATCTATTACAAACTTTGTAACCAATTACATTAAAATTACATTCTTTAAAAAATAGAGACACAACTCTGACAACCTACCAGATCCTTTTGTATTTTAAAATAACATACCCCAACAAAAGGGCGAGGTGGGCAACAATAAGGGAAGGGGTGAATGATCAAGATGCATGAATAGGCATGTCAAAACAATGAGCCCCCCTGTATAACCAATTAAAGCTTTTAAGAAACAGCTAGGGGCTGGGAAGGTGGCTCAGTGGTAGAGCGCTTGCCTTGTATGCATGAGGCCCTGGGTTTGATTCCTTAGCACCACATAAGCAAAAAGAAAAAAGCCGGAAGTGGCGCTGTGGCTCAAGTGGTAGAGCGCTAGCCTTGAGCTGAAGAGCTGAGGGCCAGCGCCCAGGCCCAGAGTTCAGGCCCCATGACCAGACCCAAAACAACAACAACAACAACAACAAAAACAGCTAATCTGGGCTGGGAAGGTGACTCAGTGGTAGAGTGCTTGCCTTGTATGCATGAGGCCCTGAGTTCGATTCCTTAGCACCATATAAGCAGAAAAAGCCGGAAGTGGTGCTGTGGCTCAAGTGGTAGAGTGTTAGCCTTAAGCTGAAGAACTGAGGGACAGCACACAGGCCCAGAGTTCAAGCCCCACAACCAACAACAACAACAAAAAAAAAAAACCAGCTAGTCTACACTAAAGAGTTTGTTGTGGGAGGAAGCAATTCTTTATAAACAGAATGATGTATTCTTACCATAAGAGAATAACAATGTTACAAATGTACTATGCAACTGTTAAACTAAGAGATTATTAAAATCTTGAGAAGCATGCTATAATCCAAATGCTTTGACTGTAGTCAGTTTTTATTTTTTAGTATACACAGAGTATGTGGAAAGAAGTTATACTACATGTCATTCACATATAAACACATTCATTCGCAGTTAAACACATACCAAAAAACACCCATAAAATAGAACTGGAGTAATAGCACTACTTTGTATGATAAAATGACTAAAAGAATTTCTAATCCTTGTCCATGATAATAATTTTGGCACCCACAAAACAAAACAAAAACCTTGTATCATGTCACATTTAAAGACAATGGATGAAATGGCAAATTCTTTTTTTTTGGGGGGGGGTCCAGTCGTGGGGCCTGAACTCTGGGCCTGGGCACTGTCCCTCAGCTCTTTTAGCTCAAGGCTAGCGCTCTACCACTTGAGCCACAGCGCCACTTCTGGCTTTTTTCTTTTTGCTTATGTGGTGCTGGGGAATCGAACCCAGGGCCTCAGGCATGCAAGGCAAGCGCTCTACCACTGAGCTACCACCCCAGCCCCTGAAATGGCAAATTCTAACACAACATATAATTTAGACCCCAAAATTAAGGCTTATTGTTAAATGAAGCATTTAATCAATTTTTTTTAAATTTCTAGCTTGGCACTAATGCCTCACACCTATAATCCTAGCTACTCAGAAGGCAGAAATCTGAGGATTATTCAAAGCCAGCACCAAGTCTGGAAGACTCTTAACCTCCAACTAACCAGCAAAAAGACAGAAGTGGAATGTGGAATGTGGCTCATGTGGGAGAGCACCAGCCATGAGTGAAAAAGCTGAGAAGCATGTGGCTCTGAGTTCAAACCCCAGTACTGGGTGGGGAAGGGGGAAAAGGGGAAATATACATATATGTGTATGTGTGTGTGTAGTATATATATATATATATATATGTATATATATATGAGACGATGCACCAGTGAATTAGTTCAGGTCTTCTTTAATTTTCACTAGTGTCTTTAGCTTACTCTCCTTCATCTTCTTAGACCTCTTCCTTTCAACATTGCATAGTCTTTCCTTTTAGGACCATGTAATATTTGGAGGAAGAGGCTTTAGAGATTTAAAAAAAAAAAAAGCTTGCTTTGCAATGGCTAGTGATCAGACACCTTCATATACTCATTAAATGATTGGTTCCCATAGTGTAAGATAAAAGTATGTATATTTCATCAAATAAAAATTATTGCTAGGTGCCAGTGGCTTATGCCTATAATCCTAGCTACTCAGGAGGCTGAAATTTGAGGATCATGGTTCAAAGCCAGCCTGGGCAAGGAAAGTCCATGAAATTCTTATCTCCAATTAAGAAAACCTAAAGTGGCACTGTGACTCAAGTGGTAGAGCACTTGCTTTGAGCTGAAGAGCTCAGGGACAGCACCCAGGCCCAGAGTTCAAGTCCCACAACTGACCAAAAAAAGAAAATTACTATGTCATAAACTTTGGAAATCAATTCTAAAGGCAGAAACTGAAAGGGTCATTTGTATATCAGCAACACGTAATATGTTTGTTTATAAAGAAACTACATGTGGATCTGGTTTGCTTGTCTAAAAGGCCATTCAGCTCTTTAATTTCTACAATGTCAACTAGAAAACTGAGATCTGAGGATTATGGCACGAAGTCACAAGGACAGGAAAGTTCATAACATTCTTATCTCCAATTAGAGCAAAAATACCAGAAGTTGAAATGAGGCTCAAGAGGTAAAGTGCCAGGCTTGTGCTAAGTGACAGTACCCAAGCCCTGAATTCAAGCCCCAATACTGGCACAAAAAGAATCAAAGCAACACAAAAGACTCAGTGACTACTCTAATAAAAGTAGGTATGCTCCCTAGGCTATTATTCTACACAGAAGACTTCCCTCTCAGTCTTTTCATGAAATCAGTTGCACAATTTATCTGTGAGTGTAAAGCCCTTCTAATTTGATAAATAATCTAAGCAGCTATGAAAAGCCCCTCTATCTATATGGTGTCTGCCACGGCAAAATAAAAATATAGGTATACTCTGATACCTGACATAACATAATTTAAATACTAAAAGGTCACTTACTGCCACACCAGCATGGTAACTTGTTCCACAAGCAATAAGAATCAAACGCCGACACCTCTGGATCTCCTTAATGTGATCCTTTAAACCACCCAAATTCACTGAAATAAAAGTTTGTGTACATCATTATTTAGAAAAGAACCATATAAAACAAGCACTCACTGATTTTGAGTGTCCATTGTCAATATGAGAAATAACTCTATTGCTTTGAACAATTCATAGTCCTTTTAGGAAGCATGGTGCTTCACAGATATGAAAAGTAGGGTAAATTTATAGATCACAACTTAAAATTTAATTAGCACCTACAAAACTTATACTCATCTTATTCAAATTCTGCAAGCACATACAGAATTTATTTGGGTTTTTTTGTTTTGTTTTGTTTTTGGTGCCCATCCTGGGGCTTGAACTCAGGGCCTGGGCACAGTCCCTGAGGATCCTTTGCTCAAGGCTAACACTCTTGAGCCACTGCTCCATTTCCAGCTTTTTTTTTGTAATTTATTGGAGATAGTCTCATAGATTTTGCTGCCTATGATGAGTTTGAACCTGGAGCCTCAGATCTCAGCCTCCTTAGTAGCTAGGATTACAGGCATGAACCACTAAGTCTGGCCTTATTTAATTCTTTTTAGCCATTTTTACATTCCTCTCTTTACATTAAGTTATCTTAAAAACCAAATTCTAGAAACACAAATCAGTAGATGTTGAAGGCTGTAGTTGTGGAAAGGGTACAGGAAATTCTAGTGAAATGGAACTATTCTGTATCTTGAACTTAGTTGAGGTGAAGAAAATGACTATGTTTCAGAGGCTTGTCAAAACTCACAATTTTATCAAGAGGTTGTGGCAAGGGAAATCATTTAAAACCTGACCAACATAGCAAGATTCCACTTCAAAACAAAAAAAAGTAAAACAGAATTTTACAATAAGAATGTAATAGTATTTCTAGTTACATTTCAGCAAACCCATCTGAAAAAAAGATTATCTTCATTACATTTATTATCCTCACTTCTCAAGGTGACTCAGAATAAAAGACTAGAAGAAATGCCATTATTAGAGGAAATGGCATTGAAGAGGTAACCAAGAAAACACAGAGAGGGTAAGTCACTGGGATTAAGTGGCCACCTATTTCCCAAAGTGAATGATGAGGGTTAGGATAATTCTACAAGGTCTAAAATAGGGTCTTACTTAGCTCAAGTGGGCCTTCAACTCATTATCCTCCCTGCCTTCCAAGTGCTGGGATTTAGTTTGTCTCTTTTTCCTAACATCTATTTCTCTGGCCTTAATTTCACAAATAACTGTAAGTGATCTTTACCACTATTTCCCATTGCTGCTTCCCTTAACCATTTTCACCAACCCCTCCCCAATACTGGGAGAGTCCTGGCTTATACTGCTCCTGTTTCTCTCCTGGTCACTACCTCCTTCTCATTTCACTGTACCCCAGACAGAACAACTTCCCAACTGAAAACTGTAGCTTGACCACTCACTGCTGACTAGTATCCAGCTCACTTAAGTACAGTTAGGGTCACACCTGACTCCTATGCCATTGAGAGCTTTTCAGTTTCTGTCAAAGGAAATATTCTCATCTAATCCCTAAGATTCAAGGCCTCCACCACAGTTTCTCTCGTCTTCTTTCCTAGACTTAATTTATTTTCATTCTTCTTCAAGTAAAAGATCTATGTGGCAGACAAAGCTGATTATAAATTATTCCTGCAGGATACCTGACTCATGCCTGTAATCCTAGCTGATCCAAAGGATGAGATCTGAGAATCACAGTTCAGAGGCCAGCCTGTGCAGATAAATCTGAGAGACTCTTATCTCCAATTAATTAGCAAACAGCTAGAAGGGGAGTGTAGCTCAAGTGGAGAAAGCAAGATGTGAGCAACAAGAGCACAGATATCTGAGTTCAAGTCGCAATATTAGCATAAAAATAAACAAATAAGAAAATAAACCCATAAACAGCTATCTAATAGTTTATTATTTCCCTTTAGCTAATCCTCTTTTAGTGAGATGGATGTTCCCATCTGTTCTTCACCTGCTTAAGCCTTCCCAATCCTTCAGAACCCACACTTTCTTATTTATGAGTTCTCCATTCACCTCAAACCCCCTCCAGACTCATTCTTCACTTTTCCTTAATTCAGCACTAAACTTTAATTTCAACATCAAAATGTGTGCCATATGCTATACTTTACCTTTTTTATATAGCTAACTGTCCTTTTAGATTATTAAAACCTCAAGGGCAAAACTATATCAGACATTACTTTGCTATGGTTCACTTCTATGAGTACTTTAATCTCCTTTGACACATGGTCTAGACAGAATTTTGATAAACAAGACTAGAGTTGAACCTTAAACATGGAGGAGGGTATAGGTTACTTCACATGGTGTCAGAAACACATGAAAATCTCTGGTAAAGTTTACACCTTTGCTTATTTATGAAGAACAAGCTAGACTAAATAGACACCCCCAAGCCTCTCAGTTCTCCTAGAATTTACCATGTCTAGGAAAGAGTCAAAAACTGCCTCTGACAGAAACAATAGGTGCATAAACATAGAATTTACCATTTTAACTATTTTAAGCACACAATCTAGTGGCATTAGGTACATTCAGATTGTTGGGCATCTATCACCACTACCTATCTCCACAACTTTTTCATCATCCCAAGTTGAAACTGTACTCATTAAATGCTAACATTTCATCTCACTTCACTTAAGCTCCTAGTAACCATTAGGCTATTTACTATCTGTCTAGAATCTGAGCATCCTAGATACCTACTGAAAGTAGAATTATATACTATATATGTACTAGGCTCTACTAATGGCTAAGTCGCCTTAAGAGATCCTGAAATAAAAATAAATCATATGTTATTACCTGTGTAGTCATCAAAGTTAACTCTTCCTCTCATTGTGTTCACAACAGATTCTGGTTGTTCAAATATTTCCTTCTGCATAAATGAACTAAAATTTCCTACAATGAAAAAAATCATTAAAATTAAAAGTAATATATTAAAGGATAAAAAAATTACACACTATCTCCTTTAACATAATCTTGATAAACTGAATAAAACAAAATATCATACGATAGAAAACAATATTCCTGTTTGAGTATCTACAGGACTGGATGGATATGCCTCACTCTTGTGAGAAAACAGCAACTGGGGCAGAGCCACTTTTATTTATTCATAGCTAACTAAAACATAACACAGTTATAGCAAAACAGGAATACGTCAAGAGTTTTTGAGTCAGGTCTAGGTTAAAAATCATGGTATTATCCTTCACTATCCCAACTGGGGAAATTCCTTTCTCTGCAAAACAAGCAATTACTTCACAGTGTGGGCTGTAGTATGGATTAATATAGAAAAAACTTCACATGTGATAGTTATACAAGAATGTTATTCCTACCACAACCGAGTCAGAAAGTAGAAAAAAAAATCATAGTAATCACAACAGTTAATAACAGCCAACATTATGAAAGGGGGCATGAAGTTTGCAAGGTACTATGCTAAGGGCACAGTACTCAACAGACATCTTAATGCTTAAAACACACTTAAAACATTCTTAATGATAGATTTTAGTATCCCCACAGTATATATGACAAAACTGGAGAGGGAATAGAAAAAAAATAGAAGAAAAAGCAACATAATATGAAACTTACAAGTTATCTATAAAACATCAGATTCTATTAAGATAATCTCCTTTTTTATGTCAAAAACAAGAGATCAGGCATTAGAATAAAGAATTACTCTAAGACCAAGAGGTATGTTCTCCAAAGAACCATCCCTTTTCCTGGGGTTACCCCTTCATCAGTTCAAGAGATTCCACCTAGCATTATTAGGTTCAATGGCAGGACAGGAAATAGAATGTCTCCTGCCTCTAAGGACACCAAGCTAGGACATAACAAGAACTATCACCCTTCATGATCTGCTGGAGTTCCATCTGGAGGGTCTGCACAGCTCGTCCAGGGTGATCTCCTGCAGTTCGTTTAATTCGATGGATAGAAAGACGGCCATCTACCACTGCTGCGACATCATCATCTTCTAGAAAGATGACACGGTTGGTGTGTTCTATGACAGCACTATAATATTCAACAAGAGATTACAATCAATAACCAAGATTGTTATCACAAGTGGATCTGTCATTAGGACAGGAGGATCAAATAAAAATATATACTATCATCTTGCAATACCTCTATTAAACTTTCTGGTTACCAAAATGTCATCACATATGGAACACTGATGGGGAGGTGGTCCCTGAGAACAAAAAAATAAAAGGATCTCTGTGCAAAAAATCTAACAACATTAGATTAGGTCAGGAGACATGGCCATTTCTGTCTCATTCTACTTATCAACAAATGCTGTAATTTTAATCCTGAAATATATCTTTATCAACTCTGTGGCTGACTAACTCAGCATCCTCCTAACTACTCATGTTCTCCCTTATTTCCCTCCACCCCTTCTTATTGTCTGCCAAAATCCCTACCAAAAGGCATACTAAGCAAGATGTCTCTCTAAACCAACAAACTACTTGGTACCTCTTTGGCTCTGAGGAAAACATCCATGCCCCACCAAATATCATCTCCCTGTGAGTTCTAACCACTTATCTCTCTCCTTAACTGTAACAGGACAAATCATGTTCTGAGAATGTTCTGTCTACTGCTTAATCTAATTACTTCTTAATCTCCTCTAACTCTCAGTTCAAGCTTCAATCCTTTTAAAAAAACACCTATGTACCGGGGATAAATAAACCTCTAATAAGCATTTTGTAGCTCTTGTCATAGTGAGAATTCTGTAATTATGTAAGTGTTTAAAATCTGTCTTCTCTATTGTGGAAGAACTCCATAAAGTCAAAGGTATTTTTATTTCTTACGGTTATGCCTCAGGCTAGCATATGGCTTTGCTCAGAGTATTCACTATGAATGTAAGAATGAATGAAAAAAGGCTGATAAGCTTCAGCAATTTCCAGTTATTTAAGCTATAACTATCAACCTAGTTAATGACAGCAGTGACACATATTAATGCTGACTACACATCTCACGTATCTGCAACACTTGGAAACCAGCAAAGCTCATTTTCCCTCTGAGAGAATACATTCCTTTCTTGTCTGAAATGGTATCTTTTTCTCATTTTTTTATTACTTCCTCTTATTTTCAGGTACAGTAAATGAAACAATACCTATTGGTAATTCAAGCAATCCCAATTTATCTTCATTTCTATAGTATTTCATCTATAAGTACACCTAAACATTCTACCTTATTTTCTTTCAAAATATCTTAGTCTAGTACTGTTTCTTTAAAGACTTATGCTGTAAGTTCATTCTACATGTAAAAGACAAGAATCCATATTACACTAAAACTACAGTGGTTCAACAACTGTAATGGAATTGATGAGATACCAACTAAGGTATTCTCCAATCCTCCTCCCTACAAAACCTGGGTAATCTTCCTGAAGAAACAACACCCTGAAGCAAATGTGTTGGAACAAGTCTTCTACCTCTTTCTCACATAGTTGGGATTACAGACAAGTACCACTTCACTCAGATTGTTCTTTAAGATTGACTCTTAATGACTTTTGCCAAACCAGCCTTGAGCTACAATCCTCCCTTCTCCACCTCCCATATATACAAGATCACAGGCCACTATACTTGACTACCTCTACTCTTAAGAAAATTCTAACTGAGCACTAGCGGCACACCTATAATCCCGGTTATTTCGGAGGCTGAAATCTGAAGATTAAAGTTAGAGCCAGCCCAGGCAGAAGATTCCATGAGACTCTTGTCTCCAAATAACCACTCAAACCCAAAAATAGAGGTACAGCTCAAATGGTAGAGCATTAATTATCATTGAGCAAAAGGGCTCAGGGATAGTGCCCAGGGCCTGAGTTCAAGCCCTACAACCAGCACAATAAAAAAAAAAAAAAAGAAGATACTCAGGGTTGATGTATGGCCGAGTAGCAGAGTACTTCTAACATACAGAGTATATCCTCAGCACAGAAAGAGAGAGAGAGAGAGAGAGAGAGAACAAGAGAGAGAAAGAGAGCAAGAGAGAGTGAGAGAGAGAGAGCGAGAAAGAGCAAGAGAGAGAGAGAATGGGGGGGAGGATTGAAAGAATTCTCTTATACAGTATGACTAGATTTATACAAAATGACTTCTCAATTTCTTGCAGCATGAGAAGTTTTACTAAAAATTCTCTTTAAATCAATTACAGAAGCTAACCTTGCATCAGAAGCAAAATAATATTCTACTGCTTTTTCTTCAACAGGGAAAAGACAAGTTGTACTGTCCACACGAGGGAGATTGCAACTTCCTTTCTTGTCTTTGCCTAGAGCATAAAATTAACTTGAGTCAAAAAGCATGTAAAAATGATGGCCAATATAGAAAATATATATAAATCAACTAAAGTAATTTTTAAAACCCATAGCAACACAAAAGAATTTTAAGTGCTAGGTAGATCATCTTTCTTTCCATGCAAAACAACAGTGAAAAACAAAAAGTATAGGGTGAAATAGCAACTATTAAAAATGCAGAGCAAAGCTGGGTGTTGGTGCCTCACACCTGTAATCCTAGCTACTCTCGGAGGCTGAAATATGACAATCACAATTTGAAGCCAGCCTGGGCAGAATAAATCCATGAAACTCTTATCTCCAAATAAGCACAAAAAAAGCCACAAGTGGAAGGGTGGCTCAAGTGGTAAAGCATGTCTTGAGCCAAAAAAGCTAAGGGACAGCACCCCAACTATCCTGAGTTCAAGCCCCAGTAACGGCACAAGAAGAAAAAATATACATAGTGCATATAACAGTGCTACATTATAAATATTTCACTGTAATATTCTCAGCCATGTAAAAGCTTTATTCTTTATCATTAACTTTTAAAACTGGAAAGTTTATACTAATTTTAATTGAATGTTACATCAACCTTTCTGAACTTAATACATGTAAGTTAATATGCCTATACTTCTCACAGGAATTAAAAATATTAAAATCACAACTGTGCAGTGGAAAATGTGTATGCTGTTACCAGAGCTTGAACTCAGGGCTTTTTACTTGTCTTTCTTCCATATGGTTCAAGCTGTTTTACTTTCCTGTGTAATTATGTTAATAAAATGGCTCAGAGTTTGTATAGCTAAAAGACTTATTTTAAAAACTAACATGTCTAGGGATACAGGTCAGAGATAGAGCATTTACCTCGCATGTGTTAAGGCTCTGGGTTTAATTCCCAGTTACACAAGTAAATATAGAAATAAACTAACTTCAAACATGAACAGTAAAAAAGAATTCCAAATATTGCCAATCAAAATATCAAATGTAAGTGTAAAAGTAAAATATCATGCATAAAGACCATGTAAGCGCATTTCAATTAAAACTAACAGTGAACTGAATGAACAATTCTCTTTCCTTATTCTAAGCATGTAACCTGCATGACCATTTTTGAAACTGAAAAAAAAATGTACAATTTCAACTATTTCCTCAAATATTAGATTTTAATAAAATGAATTACAAAAAGCAGTTTTCTAAATGGGGAAAGCAAACAGACAAAATATAATACTGCAAATTAGAAAAATAAATTGTCAAAATATATTTTCCCATAAAATAAGCAGTTTTAGAGGCTCGGCACATTCATTCACTCCAAAAACAAAGAATTAGTAAAGAATGAACAAAAGAGGGTAAGATTCCTCTCCATCCATGCAATTCCCACCTCTTTCTCCCTGTGATCCCCACCGTGTGAATTTTGATCCAATCTGAGTCCTAGCTAAGGATATACAACAGAAAAAAAAAAACTACTTGTCAGAGAACTCACAAAACAAACCTTTTTCATGTTTATATGTGTGTTTGTGTATGTGCTATATACATATACATGTATACAACCAAAAAGTATTTGTTCTCACTTAAGGAAGATAATTCTTATAGTTACAACACTCAATTTCTACATTTTCCACAAGCACGAGATAAAAGCAGTTTACCTGTCCTATAGAGTATTGGAATGTGATCAGTAGAAAGCTTGTGTTCACTCCGCACACCAATCAATAAGGGGCTACCTCGCCTATAAGAGCAAGATGAATCAGAATGAACTATTTTTATAAAGAATGCACTAGCAACTTAAAATTTTAAACAGTTAAATGTGAAATTTAATACTCAAATTATGTTTTAATTTTTCCTCCAAACTCAACTTTAATTAACAAAATAACTCGGCTGGCAGAGCTATATACCACGCTTGTCTGTTTTCAAACAGCTTTCATTATTCTTTCTCAACTGATAAAATTTAAATTGTATTTGGCTCAAGAAGTAGAGCGCTTGCCTTGAGCTGAAGAGCACAGGGACAGTGCCCAGGCCCCGAGTTCAAACCCCATGACCAACCAAAAAAAAAAATTAAATAGTATTACATAAAGTTTTACTGAAACATATCCGATTGCATTCTTTCACATTAGGATAGCAAGTAGTAACTAAGAGGCTATGTGGCTCAGAAAGCCTAAAATTTTCATTATTCAACCAATACTCCCCCAAAAACCTGCCAACTTCCATTTTAGAATCTTGTTCTCTCTTTTAAGATAAAAATGAAACTTTTTCCAATTGTATAGACTGTCAGCATAAATGAACACATGGCACTTTCTCCTAAATCACCTTTGCCTTCAGATTAAAAGCATCTTTCTCCCCAAATCTTTAAGTGCCTCACTTTATAATCAGTCTAAATGTCTTAGCAAAAGTAATCATGGTACTACTAGCTAGGAATCTGTCTAGAATGTTTCAAAAATATTAAGAAAGCTAATGCTTCGGACTTGAAACTGGAAATTTTTCAATATCTATATTCACAAAGTTACACAGTTCTCCCACAGAAGGCCAATCTTAAATGCCAAAATACATTTGCTTTATTAAGGGACCTTGTTAAAAGTGGCATCACAATAGACAAAAGTAGTATGTGGAAATAAATATACTCTGTAGGAACACTAAAGCCAAGCTGTGAGACCAGGAAAGGGATAAGAAGTTGGGATGCTGCCTCATCAGTACTCAGAAGACTGAGAACTGGGCCCTGGAACAGTTACAAAAGACAAGGCAAAATAAATGTGTAAATTACTATTAATTGGAACTTCTGATGTCTAAGTCACAGTTGAATGGACCTTATGTTTAAGTTAGAGTTGATTGGATCCTATGAAGGTTGAGACAATGTAGGTTTATATTAGCTATGGATTTCAAAAATGTTTGCTGCTTCCCTTCTGCTCCCTAACAATAGGGAGTAAATTATTACTATATACACAAAATATTTCTCATGTTAATGACTGGAATCACAAGATAAATTGACACCTTCTTTCCTGAATGTACCTATAGTAACCTTCCCTGTACTAGTGAACTAAATAAATAGGCTTGCTTACAGGAGTTCAGAGTTCAAGAGCTGGTGAGCCTTTATAACCCTTGGTCCCCAATTGTTTAATTTTTCGCTCCAGTATCCTGTCATGTTGTCCTGGATTATGGAGAGCAACAATACTCATACAAATGTATCTAAGAAAGGGCAGGGCCAGTAAATCCAGTAAAGGATTTGTCCCAAAATACATATAAGAATTCATTCTTAATAGATTTATATGTACCTTGTGCCAACTGCTTGCCCAGGAAAATGAACACTTTTAAATACTAGTGCAAAAGCACCTTCCTATGGAGGCAAAAAAGCAAATAAAAAAGAATTAGCAATACTTAGCATAATCAATTATCAGAAATGAAATGCTGAAAATATACTGTCTTTAGCATAGGAATTTATTGTTCACACAAGTGCTTTTCTTCACTAGTTCACAAACACATTTAAATTATACCTAGACAGCCAGGCACTGGTGTAATCCTAGCTATTTAGGAGGCTGAGACTTGAGGAGCATGGTTCAAAGTCAGCCCAGGCAGGAAAGTCTGTGAGACTCTTATCTACAATTAATTGCCAAAAAGCCTGAAATAGAGCTGTGGCTCAAGTGGGAGAGGGCTAGCCTTGAGCAAAAAAGCTCAGGGGTAGCAATCAGACACCCTGAGTTCAAACCCCAGGACCAGTAGAAAAGAAAAAAGAAAAATTTACCGAGACATTCCTGAGATGTGGCACACAAAAGACCAGCTTCTGTAACCAGGCTCATTTTCAAAGTATGCTTAACAGTTAATAGCTCAAAAAATCGATCAGTTGAAAATTCGCCTTTGTATATGCTACCAAAATTTCTCAATAGATACACCATCTCTCATAATACAAATTCAGTAGGAAGACAGAATTAAAGTTAAACATCCAAAGTTAAACATCCAAAATCCATATTCTGGTCTAGTAATTATACATCACATTACCTTCCTTTTCTTTTTTGTACCAGTCCTGGAGCCTGAACTCAGGGTCTGTGCACTGTCTCTGATCTCCTTTTGCTCAAGGCTAGCACTCTACCATTTGAGCCGCAGCTCCACTTTTGGCTTTTTTTGGGGGGAAGGGGGTCAGGGAGTAGTTTTGGAGGCAAGAGTCTCATAGATTTTCCTGCCTGGGCTGGCTTCAAACTGTGATCCTCAGACCTCAGCCTCCTGAGTAGCTAGGATTATGGGCATGAGCCACCAGCACCTAGATCCTCCCATTCTTTTTGACCTCAAGATTAGAGACATAAATACACATCCCTCACAATGATTAACAATCATCCCACCCTATCAATCAGCCTCCTCAGGGATAATAGTATCTAAAAAGAAGAAAGGAAGGAAGAACATGAGGAGGAGAGCAAAGAACCACTACAGAATGAAGTAGACTTCACAGGGAACAGGAATAAGAATAGGAGTGGAATAGAAAGGCATGCAAATCTGCCTTGTGTAAGAAAAAACAGATCAGTATATTCTGTTTTCCTAACTCCTGCTGTAGATGTCAAAAAATCTAGTGGAGGTGGAAAGGAGGGGTGCATCTTAGTAGAGAAAATGGGAAAGGTCTAAGCTTGGGGAAGAAGGTAAAGGCATCACTATGAACTTGGACTTTTGAAGTGGAATCAAAACAATACTTTTTTGGGGGGGGACTTTTCTTTCTTCTTTGACAATACTGGGGTATGAATTTAGGGTCTCATGCTTGCTTTCTAGGCAGGTGCTCTACCATTTGAGCTATGTCCCCAGGCCTTTTTGCTTTCCAGATTTTTTTGATAGGGTCCTGCTTTTATACTAGAAGCCAGCTTTGGACCTCAATCCTCCAATCTGTGCCTCCCCATGGCTGAAAAAATATAGACATTCCCCTACCACACCAATTATTTATGGAGACGATGGTTGTGTAACTGGCTAACTTCAAGCCACAATACTCTCTATCACAATTTCCCAAAAGGTTGGAATTACAGGCATGAACCATCATGTCTACCTACAAATATAGGGCCACAGAAATGTAGTTTATTGTGCTAGTACAAAAACATGTAGACATTATCTCAGAATAAAGACTACATTTTAAGCTGGGAGCCAATGGCTCACACCTATAAGCCTAACTACTCAGGAGGCTGAGATCTGAGGATTGCAGTTCAAAGCTAGCCCAAGCAGAAAAGTCCATGTTACTCTTATCTCTAATAAACTACTCAGAAAAAGCCTAAAGTGGTGTTGTGGTTCAAATGGTAGAGCATTAGTTTTGAGCACAAAGAGTCTCAGCACCCAGTCTGAGTTTAAGCCCAAGACTAGCAAAAAAAAAAGACATTGCGCTGTTATTGGCTGAAAGCAAGAAAGTGATAAATTCTCCATTGTGTGCCCTGTGTACATGTTTGTGTGTGGTATGGATAAATTTGGATCTGTGTAGTTTGGGGATATAAAGCTTTTCAATCTCATGACCACAAACTATAGTGAACTAAATAGAATTTTAAGTGCTAGTGAAGACAGGTCAATAAGACTCTCAAAATTATTCAAGTTGAATTGTATGCATAGGAAATAAAACATCAAGAAATTAGCACAGTTCCTGATTAACAGATTTCTTTTTCATTAAGAAAGTTCTTCGCAGTTAATGTTGCTATCATTATCTTTAAAAGTGTCGCTTAGCCAAGTCTTGATGGCTCACATTTGTACTCCTATTCAGGAGGCTGAGATCTCAGAATCTCAGTTCAAAGCTATCACAGACAGACAAACCCACAAGACTCTCTTATTTCCAATTAACCAGCTAAAAGCTAGAACTGTAGGTATGGCTCAAGTGTAGAGCACCAGCCGTAAGTAAAAAAACCCAAGTGAAAGTATAAGCTTCAGTATCGACATCAACAGTTTATCTGTATACCAATTGTTGTATAACTCTCTCCACCAATGTAGTAAAACTGATGTCTTGACTTTCCCAGTTGTCATACATGTACTTCACCAGCTTGGCAATTGTTTCTGTATCTGTTTCAGATTCAAAGTCATAGCCTTTGCTTTCCTGCAAGTAGAGGGAAAAGACAAACTTCAGGAAATATCCATGATAACCAAATCCTCTCTACAGAATTTTTTCCTCAAAAATCTCCCTAATATCTAGTATTTTTTTATTGTGAAGATATTGTACAGAAGGGTTACAGTTACATGAGTAAGGTAATGAGTACATTTCGTATAGAGCAGTTACCCCCTCCTTTGTTTTTCCCCTACTTTCCCTTACTTCCTCAACTCCCCAACCCCTCCCTCCCCATCCCCGAAGTTGTAAAGTTTGTTTCCAACATAGTGTCTTACATGTCTCATTGTTACAATAGGTCCACTGTATCCTTGTTTCAGCATTTTGTTATTTCCCTACTCCTACCCAAATTTGAAAAATGTGCATACAAGATGCAAGACACCGAAATCAAATACAGTAACAACAGAAGTTATACCATAGGGGGAAGAACATACAAAAGAAATTTTTTAAATCACATAGTACATTAAAAACAACAGCAACAAAGAAAAAAACCTCTGTGTCCATATCTTGGGGTGCATTTCGGTTAGCATCATCTTATATGGTCACATGTACATAGCTTTTGACCTTTTCTGCTTGTCTGTAAGATTATCCTAGATGTATACTAGTTATTGCAAATAAGGAAAACGACGGGACCTATGTTTCTTTGAGTCTGGCTTATTTCGCTTAATATAATTTTTTCCAAGTCTTTCCATTTCCTAGCAAATGGGGTGGTATCATTCTTTCTGGAGGCACAGAATTCCATTGTATATGTATATATCACAATTTCTTGATCCATTCATCTACTAAGGGACATCTGGAGTTGGTTCCATATCTTAGCTATGGTGAATAATACTGCGATAAACAGAGTTGTGCTGGTAGCTTTAGTATCTAGTATTTTTGAATACTATAATGCATTTACCTAAAATTAAGGTAATCATCTGACTATAGTGACCTCCAGATAAGTTCTATATTGCTGAACACTTTAAAGTTACATAAATATATGCCACATATGAATTAAATAATTAAAATGATATATAAAACACTCAAAGCTGGGTGCCAGTGGCTCATACCTGTAATATTAGCTACTAAGAAGGCTAAGATCTGAGGATTATGGTTTGAAGCCAGCCCAGGCAGTAAAGTCTCTGACACTGTCATCTCCAATTAACCAACAAAAATGTGGAAGCAGAGCTGTGGCTCAAGTGGTAGAACACTCTCCTTAAGCAAAAAAGTTCAAGGATGGAGCCCTGAATCTTAGTTCAAGCTCCAGGGCCAAGAGGAAAAAACAAAAACACTAATTTCATAATAAATATAACAATTCTTTCATTGATGATGCTACCGTACACTCTAGTAAAATTGCCATTAACTATATGTGATTATTTAAGTCTAACTAAAACCCCGTAGAGTTGAAAATCTACTTTTTTTTTTTTTTGGGGGGGGGGGTCCGGTCGTGGGGCCTGAACTCTGGACCTGGGCACTGGCCCTCAGCTCTTCAGCTCAAGGCTAGCTCTCTACCACTTGAGCCACAGCCACTTCCGGCTTTTTTCTTTTTGCTTATGTGGTGCTGAGGAATCGAACCCAGGGCCTCCGGCATGCAAGGCAAGCGCTCTACCACTGAGCCACCTTCCCAGCCCCAAAAATCCAGTTTCTCTGTCATAGTAACTTAACAGTCACTTGTGCCTGGTGGTTACTGCATTAGCATAAATGCACAATGTTGCATCACTGCAGAAAGCTTAATTGGACAGCCCTGAGAAAAAGGAACTTAGAAAGGTACTGACAGCACTTTGTAACAACATAGCACATAACTATTTAGGACATAGATTTTACTTTTAATCTGCTCCAGTTATCATACAGTCTAGAAATATTTTAGTTTTGTGTGTGTGTGTATGTGTTTGAGAGAGAGAGAGAGATACTAGGGAATGAACTCAGGGCCTCACATTTCCTAGATAAGCACTCTACCACATGAGGCACACTTCTTTTTGCCCTTTTACTTTTCACATGAGGCACACTTTTTTTCTTTTACTTTTCAAATACGATCTCTCATACTCTTGGCCAGCCTCAGACCTTGATCTTCATAGCCTGAGATTGCAAGTATGTACCACTATACCTGGCCCTAGAAAACTCTTTTATTAAATACTGAACAAGGTCTATCACAGAGTAAAAGATGTTGTGGGGGCTGAACTCTGGGCCTGGATGCTGTCCCTCAGCTCTTCAGCTCAAGGCTAGCACCCTACCACTTGAGCCACATCACCACTTCCAACTTTTTTCTGCTTATGTGGTGCTAAGGAATCGAAGCCAGGGCCTCCTGCATGCAAGGCAAGCACTCTACCACTGAGCCAACTTCCTAGCCCTAGCTCCAAAAACTTTTATTTTCCCCATGCTGGTGGATCAAACTTAGGTTCTCTCATGTGTTGGTCACTAATAATAAAGTCAAATTATTACTTCTCTCTTTTTTTTTATTTTGTATTTGGTCCGGTCGTGGGGCCTGAACTCTGAGCTGGGCACTGTCCCTCAGCTCTTCAGCTCAAAGCTAGGGCTCTACCACTTGAGCCACAGAGCCACTTCTGGCTTTTTCCTTTCTGCTTATGTGGTGCTAAGGAATCAAACCCAGGGCCTCAGGCATGCAAGGCAAGCACTCTACCACTGAGCCACCTTCCCAGCCCCTTACTTCCCTTTCTTGAGAGGAGGCAGAACTGGGGTTTGTACTAAGGATTTCATGCTTGCTCAGCTGGCACTGTACCACTTGAGCCATGTCAGCACTCTGCTTACTGCTAGTTTGTTTTTTTTTATTGTGAAAATACTGTACAGAGGGGTTACAATTACATGGGCAGGATAGTGAGTACATTTCTTATCAAGCATTGTAGCCTCCTCCTTTGTTTACCCTTCCCAACTGCTAGTTCTTTTGAAGCTAGTCTCATGGACTTTTCTGCTGGCCTCAAACTATCATCTTTTGGACATCAGCCTTATTGTAGCTAGTATTATAGGTCAGGGCCACTGATGCCATTAAAAAAAAAAACAAAACAAAACAGTATTTACATAAGAAAACAGGATTGTTCCAATGCAGTCAGAGAAAAGTCCAACAGATGACAATACCCTTACAATTGTTTTAGGATTACTCAATCTTATGTAGATAACGCTGCACATCCCAACACACCATTTCATGACTCCTATTAAAAGGATTCTCAAGCTAGGCACCAGTGGCCCTTACCTAGAATCCTAGCTACTCAGGAGACTGAGATCTAAAGATCTCAAAGCCAGTCTGGGAAGGAAAGTCTGTGACACTCTTATTTCCAATTAACCACTTAAAAAATAAATAAATAAGCCAGATGCTGGTGCTCACGCCTGTAAGTCTAGCTACTCAAGAGGCTGAGATCAGAGAATCACAGTTCAAAGCCAGCCCGGGCAGAAAAGTCTGTGAGACTCTCATCTCCAATTAACTACCAGAAAATTGGAAGTGGTGCTGTGGCTCAAAGTGTTAGAGCACTAGCCTTGAGCTAAAGAGCTCAGGGACAATGCTCAGGCCCAGAGCTCAAGCACCATGACCAACAAAATAATAATAAATAAAGCCAGAAGCTGTGGACCTGAGACTCAAGTGGTAGAGCACTAACCTTGAGCATAAAACCTCAGGAACAGTGCCCAGGCCCTGACTTCAAGCCCCAGGACTGGCATACACACCAAAGAAAGTATTCTCAAAGATTAGTGTATTCTTTACTTACCAAAAACTTTTTCAAGTCTTTGTAATTGGTGATGATTCCATTATGAATAACAATAAACTCTGTAAGAAATAAAAGTATTAATGACAAAAATTAGAAGCCTGATAAATGCTAGTAATGGCTATTGTTATGAATAGATTTTGTTAAGTCAAAATGTTATAACATACTATCACCTACTTCTCCTGATTAGATACCTACCATCACCTAAATTACAAAATAGTGTATCAGCTATGTGGCTTGTCAGAAGCATACAGTGTTTACAAGGAGTAAATAAAATGAACTGCTGTCTAGAAACATCAATTTCATCTGTGGCTAAACTAGAGTTCCTACATTAATACAGGAAAGGGTCAAGTTTACTGGGCCATTTCCCAAATAAGACATCTGAGGTAAATAACTGTTATCCTCATGTCTCTTTGATTTACTCTTGACATGAGTTTCAAACTAGAACAATTACCTAACTTACAATAAACAAGTATAAGAATCTGCCAAAAATAATGATGCAGCTATTTGGATCTATAACTAACTTTACTTGCTCAAGCAAGCAAATTTCTGAATAATTCCTGAACTGTCACATAAAAATGTTAAAACATCATTCCAAGAGAAAATAATGTTCTCGGGATTATTTTTATCTATTTCTTATTAAATGACAACACTGAAAAGTATAAGGATAATCAAAAGTTGGTAATACAGATTCTTATATATAGCCACTGAAATTATAAATTTAAAATTCATACATCTAAAGAAAAATTACTACTAAATCCAAATTTTTCTTCTTCTATGAAATAGGATCTCACTATGATGCCCGAGCTGGCCTCCAACTTCTGTGTTCAAGTGATCCTCCTTCCTCAGCCTCCCCAGTAATCGGAGTAACAGATATGTGTCACTCAAGCCTGGCTTGAATCTAATTTTGTATCAAATTTTAAAAATGTTATTATACCTAAAGATCTGATTTTGGTTTGAAAGTGAGTGAACTTGAGCTGAATGTATTACAAATTATATAACAAAACAAACATTTTTTAATTGACTTTTAAGAGAGAGAATACCATATCAACACTAAAAATGTTTTATCAGGAATACATGAATTATATCAGGAATACATAATTCACACACTGCATAAATGAGAAAGCTGGATAATGATTTAGGAGAGTCAAGATCTCTATACACTATTTGTCAATGAGTATGAAATTTTCCAGATAGAAAGAAAATTAAAATAACAAAACCATTACTGGCCCCCTGCAATCATCTCAAAGGACAAAGAATCTGTTCAAACCATTATTTTTGTCAGAGCGCTGGGGATGGCTATTAACAGGATTGGGTTCTCCATGAGTTGCCCAACGGGTATGAGCTATTCCAAGGTGGACATCAAATTCTATATCCAAATCCATATCCTGTTGTTCTGAAAAAGAAATTCTGTATTTAATAAAGTTGTAAAAATGCTAGAAGCCATGTTAAGTATAAGTAGTCCTCTGCCTTATCCACAGAAATATGTTTCAAGGTACTCATACATACACAAATGCTATACCTTTTCCATCTTCACTAAGAACTTATCATGCATGCCCTGTGGCCAGAACACTTTAGCCTGAGACGTGACAGGCTGCATTTGGCAGCCTTGGTATATTTTTCTTCTTTCCTTGTTAAGCACAGAACTATTAACTGTCCTATTTATAGGCAGCACTGATGGCTTCCCAATGGCACATCTGAACCTCCAGCAGCAAGCAATGCTCTTGCATTTGGGGCATTACTAAATAAGAGAAAGTTACCTCCATATAAATAGTACTTACCTCCATATAAGTAGTACATAAGTAGTACTACCAAAAAAATACCAATGTATTTAACTAAGTTCCTTCTCTAATTGTTGTGACTTTTTTCAGTACTGAAGAATTTAGTCTTACACTTGCTAGGTACATGCTTTACCACTTGCACCGCATCACAGCCCTTTTCTGCTTTAGTTATTTTTCAGATAGCATACTCATTTTTCTAATTTGTCCATTGCTAGCCTTAGACGTGATCCTCCTACCAACAGCCTCCCACACAGTTTGGATCATACCATCCCCTACTAAGAACATTTTGCTGTTTGAGTTGAGGTATTAGTAACTGTTCTCCCAGTCTGTGCTCAAACCACAATCCTTTCAATTTCTACTTTCTGAGTATGTAAGATTACAGATATGTGCCAATGCACCCAGTACTATGACTATTTTTACAGCTCGGGCTCAATTTAAAGCCAGTCAAGCAATAACAAAATCACTTTTTATTTCTTCCCTTATACTTTAAATATCATCCTCAAAATGGATAGTAAAATATGAGGTATTGGCAAGAGCACAGAACAGGAAAAGGACAAAAAGCAAACTAAGTATATTACTGTGAACTTCTTCATCGAGTGCCTTAACTTTTCCTTTCTTCTTAATGAGTTGGATTTTACAGGCATTAGCTTCCCAATCTTTGTCATTGCCTCCATCAAATCCCACACCTAAATCAAGAAGAAAGAAAGCAAGATTTAGAAAGTAGCTTCTGCTAAAATTATCTATATAAGGCAATTTTTAATTTAAAATTATACTTTCATCTAATTAATTTAACATTTATTGAAAACACATTATGCACCAGTCATGACAGCTGTTCCAGACAAAAACAAAAACAAGGCTGGACTGTGTGGGTCAGCAGACATGCCTAGAAGGCAAAAGGTTGAGGAGGGAAGGAGAGAGGGTAGGAAAATAGAGGAAGGGAGCAAGGAAGGAAGGCAGAGAAGGAGAAAAGCGAGAGATGGAGGCAGGGAGGGAAGAAGAAGGAGGACTCAGTTACTGTTGCCATTTTCCAACAGCCTTTAAAAAAACATTTAAGAAAGGACTAATTGCTACAGAAGTTACTACTTGTACAAGCAATTACCATACATATTTACAAGTTATAATGAAATATTTCAAGTCACAGCTGAAGGAGGATGGAGAAATGAAACAAGGAGGGCGGGGGAGGCATACACCTTAGAAGAAGGATAAAGAGCAACATGAGAAAAGCAACTTTTGAGACTACCTTTTAAGTTGCTAAGGATCTTAAGAATTTATCTTTGAAGAGACAGGAAAGCAATGAGTCATTTCAACAGAAAATACTGCAAAAAACAATTAGCAAACTGTAAAAACAGTGCAGAGGAGAGAGAGGACAAAGCAAAAATGAATAGGCCTGAACGAAAGAATAGCAATGAAGATGGAGAACGTGATCATGAGGACTAGAACTGACTGGATATGCAATGACAGTACAAGACAGTCTAAGATACTTGCTAGGCTCAAAGGAGTTACGAGATTAGGTAACTTAGAGGTAATTAAATACGTTTTGTCATTCTGAAAAAAAATTGTTAGACAATAATGATTATTAAAGGAATGTGGAGGGAATTGAAGGGGTATGGGTGAATAATACAATGTAATCAGTTCAATTCCAAACATTCAAAGGCTGTAACATGTGCTTCCACAGGAAGAAAGCAGGTGGAAACATGAGTCTACACACTTGGGAAATACAGCTGGAAATACACTTTCTTTTTATTTTTGTCGGTGTGGGGCTTGAACTCTAGGCCTGGGCGCTATCCCTCAGCTCTTCAGCTCAAGGCAAGCACTCTACCACTTGAGCTGCAGCGCCACTTCCGGTTTTCTAGACTCCTATTGGAGATAGGAGTCTCAGTCTTTCCTGCCCGGGCTGGCTTTGAACCGAGATCCTCAGATCTCAGCCTCCTGAGTAGCTAGGATTACAGGCGTGAGCCACCAGTGCCCAGCTTGGAAATACACTTTAGAAATAAATAGGATAGCTAGGCACTGGAGGCTCATGTTTATAATCCTAACTACTCAGAAAGCTAAGACCAGAGGATTGTGGTTCAAAGTCATCAGGGGCAGAAAAGTCTATGACATTCATCTCCAATTAACCACCAAAAAACCGGAAGTAGCGCTGCAAAAGTGGTAGTGTCAGCCTAGAGTAAAAATAATGAAGGGACATTGAGTACCCAGGCCCCGAGTTTAAGCCCCTCTACCAACAAAGGGGAAAAAAAAATAAGAAGCAGGCTGGGAAGGTGGCTCAGTGGTAGAGCGTTTGCCTTGCATGCATGAGGCCCTGAGTTTGATTCCTCAGCACCACATAAGCAAAAAGAAAAAAGCCGGAAGTGGCACTGTGGCTCAAGTGGTAGAGCACTAGCCTTGAGCTGAAGAGCTGAGGGACAGCACCCAGGCCCAGAGTTCAGGCCCCACGACCAGACCCCCTCCCCAGCCAAAAAAATAAGAAGCTAAGTGTGGTGGCTCCTGCCTGTATTCTTAGCACTTTGAGAGGCTGATGTACTTTGAGATCTGCCCAAGCTACACAGTAAATTCCAGGCCAGCACAGCAAGAATCTTTATCAATAACTTTTAAAAAATGCTACAGGGCCAGGCTCGGTGGCTCATACCTATAATCCTAGCTACTCAGGAGGCTAAGATCTGAGAATTACGGTTTGCAGCCAGCCCTGGAATGCAAATCTTTGAGATTCTCATCTCCAATTAACTAGAAAGCCAGAAGTGGAGTTGTGGCATAGCAGCAGAGAACTAGCCTTGAGAAAAAAACTCAGGGACAGGGCCAAAGCCCCGAGTTCAAACCCAGGACTAGCATGCACATACACTCATGCACGCAACAAGTTAAAAAAAAAAAAAAAGTAGAGCTGGGAAGGTTACTCAGTGTAGTGTTTGCCTTGCATGCATGAGGCCCTGGGTTTGATTCCTCAGCACCACATAAGCAGAAAAAGCCAGAAGTGGAGCTGTGGCTCAAGTGGTAGAGCACTAGCCTTGAGCTGAAGAGCTGAGGGACAGCGTCCAGGCCCAGAGTTCAGGCCCCTCATCGACAAAAACAAAACAAACAAAAAAACCACTAACAGATGAAAGAAAGGGAAGGTAGATATATAGACATGTATTATAAATTGCAATATATGGGAGTATGGGAAAAAGGTATGTCAGCGCTCACCCATAAAAACACAAAGTAACACAGTGGGCTGAAGAAATAACCTTAAAGATATTCCTTATTTTTTTTAAAAAAAACCCAAAGCATACAGAAAACAAATAGCATCCACATGGGAAAGATACATTGCCAGAAAAGGAAGGAAAACATTAATAACAAAGGACTTGTAGGATTGAATTTTCATCACTGAGCAGTTAAGGAAGTTAAATGCACAATATGAAGCATACTAAATGTAAAATGTAAAATGTGAAGTGTACAGAAAAGGGATGTGTCGCTGCTACTCTTAGAACTCCCTACTTGGCCGGGCGCTGGTGGCTCACGCCTGTAATCCTAGCTACTCAGGAGGCTGAGATCTGAGGATTGCGGTTCAAAGCCAGCCCGGGCAGGAGAGACTGTGAGACTCCTATCTCCAATAAACCACCAGAAAACCGGAAGTGTCGCTGTAGCTCAAGTGGTAGAGCGCTTGCCTTGAGCTGAAGAGCTGAGGGACAGCGCCCAGGCCGAGAGTTCAAGCCCCACAACCGACAAAAAAAAAAAACAAAAGAACTCCCTATTTCCAAATTTGGCCCTTGGCTGGTATCTGGGGGCTTGAGTCTCAGAATTCCCATCATCCTCAAGGAGTAAGAATGGTTCATTATATCTTTGTTTTGTGCAACTATTCAGTCTGTCCCAAATACCTGCTTTATCCTGGTGAATCAGGAATTTTGTTGCATGCTAAACATATGGTAATTATGGGACCAGATCCAATAAAATCCTTGGGCACTAAGTTACTAATGAGTTCCCTTCACAAGTGACACTTCATGTGCTATACAACTCATTGTTAAGGACGTTGTAAGTACCACACACTGGAAGTTCTTGAAAGCTCATGCCTAGTTTCTTCCTCATTTCACATCATATATCTGTTGCTTTTGCTGATATTGCTTTGCATTACTTTGCTGTAATAAACTGTAGCTATGAGTTAACTATATGCTGGGTCTCATAAATCACCCTGGGGAATGATGGAATCTGAGGATCTTATGACTCTCAGACTTACCCTCTTCCATGATAAAAAGTAATGAAAGGCAGAATTTGTAGAGTAAGACTTTAGAATTTGCTCCCATAAAAATGCCTGTGTGATTTGTGTTTTTACAGTAAAGATCATCTCAGAAGCAATGCTACACATAGATAGCAACACTGTTGAAACACATAAACCCTTTAAACATGAAAAAAAGACAAAAATTCTTCACACTGGAATCTATAACACAACAGACATTGCTAGAGTCAAATAAGAAAAAAGAATAAATTCAACAATCAAGCACACCCATAAGACATTTAAAAGGAAATACCAGCAGAATCATATCCTCTGTATTCCAGTCTCTGAAGGCCTTTGATTAGGGTCTCTAAGATTTCTCGTCTTGTGCGAGGAACATGGTAGTTTAAGTAAGCAAATATACCTGCAAACAAACATTTAACAGAAAACTCTGATTAGTGAATAATTGACATAATTATGTTTAGGATACATAAAATAAAAAGCTAAATCCTTTTTTGTGTGCCTGTATGTGGCACTGAAGTTTGAACTCAGGACCTCATACTTGGTAGGTAGGCCTTCTACATTTCAATAGTCAGTCCTTTGCGTTATTTTCAAACAGATATCATGTTTTTCATTTATCCTCTATTTACAACTCCTGCATAGATAGGACCAAAGGACTGTACCACCATGCTTAAGTCTCAATAGCTTTTCACCATCATCTTTGCAATCTCTGCCTTTTGAGCAGCTAGAATACATGCATGAACCACCACATTTTCCCTCTTCATTTTTGTTTTAAAAAAGTCTTCATTTCAAATTGTTTATTTTTTTGGGTCCGGTCATGGGGCCTGAACTCTGGGCCTGGGCACTGTCCCTCAGCTCTTCAGCTCAAGGCTAGTGCTCTACCACTTGAGCCAGTGCCACTTCCGGCTTTTTTATTTTTGCTTATGTGGTGCTGAGGAATCGAACCCAGGGCCTCAGGCATGCAAGGCAAGTGCTCTACCACTGAGCCACCTTCCTAGCCCTCAAATTGTTTTAAAACAAGTGAAATTTTTCAAAGGTAAACTTCTTGTACGTATGTCGAAATAAATGTTTAGTGTGTATGTGTGTGCACGTGCAAGTGTACTATGTCAGTTTTGGGGCTTGAACTCAAGACATGAGCCCTGTTCCTGAACTCTTTTGCTCAAGGCTAGAATTGTGCCACAGCTCCACTTCTGACTCTGTGTGTATGTGTGCTTATTTGGAGACAAATCTGTGCATATATGTGCGTACATGCGTTTATTTGGAGACAAGTATCACTGGAGTTTCCTTCCCAGCTGGCTTCAAACCACAATCCTCAGAGCTCAGCCTCAGAGTAGCTAGATTTAAGAGACATGAGCAACCAGGACGTGGCTATGTTCAGTGCTTTTAAAAGAAGCTTATAAGGGTGGTAACTTATTTTTTTTGACTGTCATTTTGCCAAGTAAAATTTTTAAAAATTACCAAATTTAGCCAACCACCAGTGATTCACACCTGTAATCCTAGCTCTTCAGGAGGCTAAGATGTGAAAATTGTGGTTCAAAGCTAGCCTAAGCAGAAAAGTACATGAGATTCTCATCTGCAATCAATCACCAAAAAGCCAGAAGTACAGCTGTGGCTAAAAGAGGTGGCACATTAGCCTTGAGCTTTAAAAAGCTCAGGGACAGCACCCAGGCCCAAAGTTCAAGCCCCAGTACTGGCCCTGGTCGTACTCATGCACACACATGTGCACTCACGCACGCACACACACGCACACACATACACACATAAACTATATATGATTGAGAGTTTCACCTGGTGGTAAAGCAAAATCCTAAGTTCAATGACCAAAGAAAACAATATACAGAACATAATTCTTCCACAACAATACTACAGCTGGTTGGGTCTGGCATCCCAAATGCTCAGGTTGAGAGGCTGACCAAAAGGCTGAAAATCACTGTTGAGAGACCCACTAAAATTAGTGCCTAACTCTAAACTGGAGAAAGAAAGAAAGAAAGAAAGAAAGAAAGAAAGAAAGAAAGAAAGAAAGAAAGAAAGAAAGAAAGAAAGAAAGAAAGAAAGAAAGAAGGGAGGGAGGGAGGGAGGGAGGGAGGGAGGGAGGAGGGAGGAAGGGAGAAAGAAAGAAAGAGGGGGAGGGAGGGAGGAGAAGGAAGAAGGAAGAAAGGAAGGAAGAAAGGAAGGAAGAAAGGAAGGAAGGAAGGAAGGAAAGGCAGGCAGGCAAAACAATCCAGGTGCTGGTGATTCATGCCTGTAATTCTAGCTGTTCAGGAGGCTGAGATCTGAGAATCATGGTTCAAAGTCAGCCCAGGAAAATAAATCTGAGTTATCTCCAATTAACCATCAAAAAATGTAAAATAAGTGTGGCTCAACTAGTCGAGTGCCAGCCTTGAGTGGAAAAGCCAAGACAGAATATGAGGCAGAGTTCAAGCCTCAGTATGTAAACACATGCATGCGTGTGTGTGCATGTGTGTATTGTGTGTGCCAGGGCCAATACTAGGGCTTGAACTTAAGGCTTGGGTGCTGTCCCTGAGATTTTTTGCTCAAGGTATGTCCTCAAACATGTCATTAAATCAGCTTTTTATTCTACCACCAGGCCTCACTTTTCCCTTCTGTAAAATGAACTTTGAGATGATACAACATTCCCCAGGAAGCACCAAGTTATAAACATAGATTCAGCAGCACTATTTTCTAAATAGGAAAGGAAACTATAGCTGGGCACCAGTGACTCACACTTGTAATTCTAGCTATTCAGGAGGCTGAGATCTAAGATAGTGTTGTCAAAGCCAGCCCAGGCAAGGAAGTCCATGAGACTCTTATCTCCAATAAACTACTCAGAAAAGGCCAGAAGTAGCACTGTGACTCAAGTGGTAGAGCACTAGCCTTGAGCACAAAGAGGCTCAGGGACAGCACCCAAGCCCTGAATTCTAGCCCCAAGACTGGCAAAATGAAAGAAAACTATGACTGATTCACAACACCTATGAGGCATACTAACACAAAGGCTGTATTTGCTACCTCTGATAGTCTAGGTATTGTACAATACCCCTTAGCTCATTATCTGTGATATTTGAGGCCTCCTTCATTTGCTTTGAAGCCATTTCTGATGGCCCTGGCACTTTTTTTTTTTGCTAGTCCTGGACTTGAACTCAGGACCTACGCACTGTTCTTGAGCTTCTTTTGCTCAAGACTAGCACTATACCACTTGACCCACAGTGCCACCTCCAGCTTTTTTTGTTTATGTGGTATTGAGGAATCGAACCCAGGGCTTCATGCATGCTAGACAAGCACTCTACCACTAAGCCACCTTCCCAACCCCTCTGGCACTTTCTCATACCTGACAGACTATACCTCTCTTCTGTGCCTCAGTTCTTTGTAACACCACTTACATGATTTTGAAAGCTCTTTAACTACAAAACTAAAGCTGAAATCCTGGCAAAAGAGCATATTGCTTTCAGAATATATTATTAAGGATTAATAACAAGTAAAAATATTAAGAACATTCTTCTACAAAGCCACATTATCTTGCACACCTAAGATGGTAATAAGGTTTTCATCACTACCTAACACAATGTTTACATTCAAATTTTTCCTACTACCAAAAAAAAATCCTTTTACAGCAGTTTTGTTTATTCAAAGATCTAAAAAGGATCACCCCTCACATTTGGTTGCTAAGCCCATAAGTCTCTGATACCTGAATTTGCACCCCCTCAGCTGCCCCATTTTCCCCAAAACAAGGCATGACCAATTTTCTTGATGAGTGTCACACCTCCAGGTTGTATCCAACTGTCTCCAAAATGTTATCTAACCAGTTCCTCTAACCCCTGAATTTCCAGCAAAATGGATCAAAAGACTTGATAGTCTTAGGTTAAGAACTAAGCCAGGCATTGATGGCTCACCCCTATAATCCTAGCTACTCAGGATGCTGAGATCTCAGGATCATGGTTTCAAGCCAGCTAGGGCAGAAATGTCCATGAGACACTTATCACCAATTAACCATCTAAAAACCAGAAGGGGCACTGTGGCTCAAACTGGTAGAGTGACAGCCTTGAGTGAAAAACCTCAGGGCCAGCACCCAAACCCTTAGTTCAAACCCCATGACCAATGGAGGGGGGGAACTAGAGTACAAACAAGAATGGTTCCAGGAGTGTATGTATATTGTCTAGTCATCCCCTATTGATGAGGGTAGGATTCATCACTGGTTTCAAGTAAAGACAATCAGATTACTAAATCTATGAAATTCTGAAACACCTTCAGAATCCTTTGTAGGTTTAGAGACTGATAGCACTGATCTAAAGATATGAATGTTTTCTTTCTCTGTGATCCATTAAATAATGGTGTATTCTCCAATTAGGAATCTTAGACTCAATGAAATAGCATCTATTATATTACAACTTAAAAATGCTTTTTATTTGATAAAAGTAGCATTACTGCAATAATCATTATTGTCATTTTTTGGTTTGCTACTGAGAGGGGTGGGGGAAGGAGGAGGAAAGAGGATACAGAGGTGCAAGCAACGTTTTTCCTTCTAAAACTGGGCAGGAGCTGAAAGCAATAAAAGGATGAAGGAGGGGCTGGGAAGGTGGCTCAGTGGTAGAATGCTTGCCTTGTATGCATGAGGCCCAGGGTTTGATTCCTCAGCACCACATAAGCAGAAAAAAACAGAAGTGGCACTGTGGCTCAAGTGTAGAGCGCTAGCCTTGAACTGAATAGCTGAGGGACAGCACCCAGGCTTCACACTTCAGGCCCCACGACCGTCAAAAAAAAAAAAAGGATGAAGGATACCAAGAAAGAAATTTTCTAAGATGGAAGTAATACAGCTGGGAGAAGATAGGATAAGGGATTTGCTTAAACAATATCTACTTAGGAAAATCAGAACTAATAAGTCAGTCTGTCAGTTTTCTAGACCTGCTTTTAGAACTATCAGTCCAAGACAGTTCATTAGCTAAAATAAGGGGATTATCTGTCATCTCAGAGTGGTTAGAAAAGTATAATGGCAGCAAATCACTAGCTACCACACAAGGTGCTTTCATAGGGATGCTAGTCAGAAAAGAAATCACTAGTTCAATCTTTATTTTCAGATCTCTGACCTAGCATATCAAACTTTCAAATGAACAGATCTTCTCAAGGCAACTATGAAAGTCTGGAAATCTATGGGATAAATGCTTCAGTATCTCACACAGAAGCTGGATGAATAGAGACACTGTCTACCCCCAGACAGGCATGGGCTTTCAGTGTAAATTTTCTTATTTATGACTCATACTTGGGATAAAATTTTCCTTTGGTGAAGCAGATGTTTGTACTCCATGTATCATTCTCCAAGAACAGGAACTGAATGAACTCCTTGACACTCACCAGTCTAGAACTCAAACCATCATTTAAGATTCTACGTTTCTAATCACACGCTCCCTCTCA